GAACACTCTCGTACATGTCTCCTGATGCACACATACAAGAGTTTCTCCCAGGTAAACATCTGGAAATGGAATATGTGAATATTCAACATACATCTTCAACTTGACTTACAAGAAAATGGTTCTTAACCCTGCCGGCACAGGAATCACCAAGGAAACTTAAATATAATCAAGGTCCCAATCAGTCCTACTGAGTGTTTTTCTTTACATTTGTGGGGGGTGGGGCCTTCCACAGGTAAGTGTGTTAACAGCCAAGGCTGAAAACCACTGGTTTAGTATGACAGATTGTGTTATGGAAACAATCATTAATCTCTATAACGTTGTTTTGTTTCTAGTTCAGGAAAAGGATGTCTTTTTAAACAACTTATCACCTCCCAACCTCAACTCCTATAACAAAAGTAGTATTTCTTCATGATAGAAAAGCAAAAACAAGATAAAATATATTACGCATACTACCATCCAGAGATGAATACTGCAATGAATTTTTTTCAGAATTTTGCAAGGCATATTTTAATGTAACTGAAATATAATACACCAAGATATATATTCTAGTTGAGGAGAATTTTTTGTCTAATTATAAAGTTATTCTCTGAAGACACAAAGTTTACAAGAACACATGATAAATTGTTAGCTTATGTCATCTCTGGGAAGTGGAACTCATTTTTTTAAATAAGCATGCATTAATTTTTTAATTTTAGAAAAAAAAAAGATCCTTTAGAAAGTTTGAAAAATACAGAAAAAATACAAGAAAGGAAATAAAAATCCCTAATTATACAATGTTGAAGATTTATTTGCATGCACTTTTCTTTAACCTAGTTGAGATCTACTGCAGGCACTAAGTAGACTTAATACAGGAATATTCTAACATCTAACAGAAGATGACATAAGTTGGGAGATTGATAAGGGGTAATATTGCAATCAAGAGGTCTGATACTCTTTTTTCTCCACTCTCAAAAGGCCAATGATTCATGTCATTCAACATGAATTTTATACTGAGACAGTAAGTCCCTTGGGTACATTACTGATTAAACATCAGCTTGGACAAAAAGATGAGCTCACTCAATATCAAGATCCATGTGAAGGTCAGCTTCCAGTATATATTTTAGGCTAGAATAGCCATTTGTATTTTCTACCTGACATTATTTATCGAGTGTGCAAAAACTACCATAAAGCATATTCATTTACTAATGATGTTAACCTGTGTTACATATGTATCAAAGTTTCCAAGTTTAAACAGCCATGAGAAAATAGATTCTGAAGTACTTGAGATATACCTTTAGATATTCGCTATATTCATCCTCAAATTTCTTGCCCCAGATACTGTTACCTCCTCTTCCAGTACCTATGTTACAAGACAAACAAATCAAAAGTAGTATTTAGTTAAAGTTGAAAAAGGGTTCAATTTCTAAAATTTAAGTTATATAAAAATATAACTCTTGAAACACAAAATTTGGTATGTCCTCTCTTCCCCAAAGTTCACTTTAACAGACCAGAAAAATAAAATATCTCTGCAAAAAACAAAACTACTGGTCATATTTTAAGGCTAGGTGCCTATAGCTCTGCTTAAGTATTTCTTGCTATGGTAAGGTAGCCTGGTTGTAAATACTTCATATGCTTTTATTTTTCTATTCTTTGTCTACCCTCTTTTTCACAATATATACCTAATACCTTAGATATTAATGGAGTAACTTACCTGTTGGATCTCCTGTTTGAACCATGAAACCCTTGATATTTCTATGAAATATACAGCCATTGTAGTAATTACTGGCACAAAGAGCCAAGAAATTCTGAAGAGAATAAAAATAATGATTGAGAAATTAGGTGGCAGAAATCCATTTTAGATAAAGAACCAGTTGTATATACTGAAAACACTGCTAACAGCATATATAAACTATTGTTTAGGCATTACGTTGGATAAAATCACTTCCCTGCCCAGAATACATTAGTGGCTTTATTCTGTTCTTGGAATAAAATATAAAATCCTTAACAGGGCCTAATAAGCCTACCTTTGCATCTCATGATAATAACCCCTTTCTGTTATTTACTATGTTAACCTCATCAGCCTTCTGAAAATTGGCCCAAAACAGGCAGGCTTTCCCACCTTGAGGGCTTTGGACCTACTATATCTGTACCTGGAATGTTCTTTTTATATCTTTCCATGGAGATGCCTTCATTACCTTTCACACTCAAGTTTAAGTATCACTTTCTGGGCTGGGCATGCCCTGACCTATTTTTAAATAATTCCCATTATTCTCCATCTCAACAACTTTATTTCGTTCAAGGTATTATCACCTCTAGAATTACTTTTTTTCTAGAATAATTTCCTCCTTTGCCTATTTCTCAGCTAGAATATTACCTCCATCAGGGCAAATAAAGTCTCTTACTCATCACTGTATTCCCAGACTGTGACGAAGATTGCCCTTTGTATTTAAGAAGACTAATTTTGTTTTAAGGAATAAGATGGGGATTCTGGCCCAATTTTTGCTATGTCTAGCCTGTTGTCCCAATATCATTTAGTGAATACTCTTTTTCCCCCCCAGTGTTTAAAATGCCATCTCTATCATATACTAAATTCCTATATGTACTTAGGTCAATTTCCAGACTCTAGTTTATTGTGTTGATTATGTCTGTGCCAGTACATCTTTTTTTCATTATTTTAAAAAAAATGTATTTGATGTTTGTTAGAATTAGATTTTCCCCATCATTTTTGGTTGGTCTTTTTAAAATAAAATTTATCTTTTCTCACATATTTACTTCAAAAAAAAAAGTTGGCCTTTCACAAATAATTACTAAATGAATATACATATCTGACTCTTCTTCTTTCTATCTTTGTCATTTAAACAAGTGAAACAGTGTATTAAACAGCTCTCTCACCTAATATCTTAATGATTATTTACATTTCCTGAGGTAAATGAGCCAAAAGAAACAAGCTATTCTATAGTTAGAGAAAAATTATATACCCTTTCTTTGACCTTTGATATCAGGAAAGGTAAGTGGAAATTAGGTCAGAAATTATGATGGCTAGTTTTTCCTGACAATGGTTTTATAGGAAAGTTTTTTATTAAAAAAAACCCGACTTTTTTGTAGCTTAGATAATTCAATTTCAAAATTGTTATCCTGCTGTGTTAACTCATGTTTGACACGTACATAATGGTACACACCTCACATGTCTTGGGTGTCCTCTCACAGAAGACTTCTATTTTAATATCACCTACATCTGTATGCAATGTCACCGACTGAAAAGGAGAAAGAATGTGAGAACCAATGAGATTTCTTCAGATGACTTTATGCACTATATTGTTTCCCTAAACTTGGTATAATCTGAACAAAAACAGAAATACCATTTCAGAGGTAACCTGTCCACAAAGCAGCTGATAAGCTGTACTTCTTCAAAATTTATTTCAGTAGGAAAAAATCTCCAGAAGATAAATATAAATATTAAGGTAAAATGTTATCTGGGCTAAAATTTAGTTGCAAATATTGTGATGAAAATAATGTTTGAATTTTTCATCAGTAAAAATAAAAGCAATGGTTATATTAGGATTATTAATTTAAATGGTGATTCACCAACATTATTTATTGAAAAACAGTAAGAAAATGACCTCAAAACTTGCCTCCACCATTACATAATCTAATTTTGAGAGACAGGGTTAAAAACAATTTTTCTTGACCAAAGGCAACAAACATAAAAAGGGTCAGGGCTTCTAGATCCTAAATGTGCAGAAGTAGTAACCACAGTACTCGTTCTTGTTTGCTTTTTATCTGTTGTTTTGATAGCTTGCATACTTTTGTTATCCCTTTCCAGAGAGGGGGAAAACTATTCTGAGGCTTCACGTTTTTCCATTTATCTTGAAACAGTATCTAGAAGTCAGAGTATGGCCAAGTTGAAGATAGAGGGCAGGAGTTGGGGGGCTACTTGAAGTCTAGTTACCCATCTTAGATCCAGAGCAGAAAGATCCAATTAAAATAATCACACCTGGCTGTACTTTTCTGCTCCTTCTCTCCAACTCCCCCTTTTCATTACCATGTTGTAATCAATCTTTTCCCAGAAAAGGTAAATTCTGTGCATTTTAAGTGAAAACATTAAAGAATTAAAAAGAATTTTGCTTACTAATGGTTGTTTATAATTATCTTACACTGAATGCTACTACAGCTTATCATTTCTGTCTTGCCACTGAAATTTTCATGCAGTTTTATTTCCCTTGACTGAATTTCTAAAAATTACTCATAATGAAAGATATTCATAAGAACTGCATACATCTTACCATTTTTCTTCTGGTTTCGGGAAGTATTGTTGCTTAATTTCTCACAGCCTTATGGAGAGAAAAAAAGAATCTCTATTCCCAAAAGAAAAAAGAATTTTCATTTTCCCTCGTAAGTTACCCACGCTCATCTTTACTGCATATCGAATAACACCTCATCCCCAAGGAATAAAAATATTGTTATGGAAGTGATGAGATCCTACTGGAGTTAAGCACCTGTCTCCTACTTTCTCTGCTTATTCGTTTAGCGCCTCCCAGCGAGTCTTCCAAGAAGCCGGTACATTCGGCCTTGGTGGAACGCTTACACGCAGACATCTGTATGGTTGGTTTCTGCTCATAACCCTTATACCTCCATTCAAAACTGCTGTAATCCTAGTACCTGCCCTGTTCCCATTACCCAAAGCACTTATCACGAATATAATGTATACTTTCCTAGTTTATTAAGACTGTCGTTCCAACACCCCCTCCCGGTCCAGATGCTCAATCGAAGCAGCCCAAGACTTAAAACAGCGCTCGACAAGCATTTGACTAAGTGAAAGAAGGAACGAGGGATTGGCCCTAGCCCACACTTACCACTTCGGTTAGCACAGCTGTAATTAAAACAGAAAAGACGCAATTGCGCATGCCCGCAGCGTCTGCAGATTGGAAACGAGTTTCTCCGGCCACCGTAAATTGAGCGCGGGACAGATGGGCGCGCCTCGTCTGCTCGCCTCCTTGTTCCTCCACTCTCCTGTCTCAAACCAAAATGACTAAAGCTGGAGGGACAATACAATTTATCCCCGCCTGGAATGCGTCTGACAATGAAAGGGAGCTCACGAAGCGTAACCCGAAACGTTCTGGGGAACTAGAAGTGCCTTGCACTCAGACACAAAACGGCAAGGATCACTTCCGCCCAGCCCCTTCCCTGCCCTGCCCCGCCCATTCCCACCCTTCCCCGAGGTCCGGCGCAGGATCGGAAGTGGCGCCGAGGAGCGTTCGCGAGACAAGTGAGTCTAGGGCGATTTCATTCTGCAGGCCGCGGTTCCGGCAGGCTGCGGCCGTGCCGGGTTGCTGTCGCGAAACCGTGCAGAAGACTGGCTTGTCGCAAGAGCGCATAGGGCACTAGTGGGTAGGGGTCCTCACTCAAGGGTTTACTGGCCGTGCCTTCTGGGCTCTCACTGTCTCTGAAGTGGGACTGAAATGAGTGGAAAATGGGTAGCGTAAGAGGGTGCAGGTCGTAGGTCGTAAAAGTGGGCCCTACTAATGTCACTTAACAGTAACAAGCATAGTGCTGCCTCTAGGCCGGGCGTCGTGTCCAGCTTTATGGTTAAATCTCGCAGTAAGCCTGTGTGTGCGCACTATTTCATTCTTCAGAAGGGGTAACAGCGGAGGTTAATTTTGTTACACAGCTGTGGCTCTGGGAGTCATTCTCGTTTTAGTTGGTGTTCTTTACCACCATTACCCCTATTTGTTAATTGTGCCTTCAAGGTACACAGTGTTCCTAATTTGTAAGATGAGAGGTGTTGTGTATTATTTCCAAGGGCTCTTTAAAATGTAACAGTAAATAATTCAAGACTGGTGTAGTGGCCCACTGGAGCTTCCCTCTCGCACTTCCCAGATTTAGAAGAGACTGGAGAGTGGAGTAGCAGTATTAGGATGTGGAATCTGGGGAGTGGTGTTGGTATAACGACCATCAGAATATCTTCCAAGGCTTCAACTCCACATAACTTCAACTCATGTTGAACAAGTCCTCACATCTCATCCTGATTATTTTTGCTGAAAATTCTTTTCAACAAATAGATTATTTTATTGAAAATTTGCTCTTGAAATTACCAGGTTATGAACGTTTCATTAAACTTGCAATTGGCTATGCATTCTTGATAATTATTGTGATAATATGAAATGAAATGCTTTTCTTTAAAAACAAAATGTCCATGGATATTAAATTTTAAAATGGAGTTGACAATGTTGTCTTTTGTTTTGGATATTGATTAGAAGGCATACAGACTGAAAGGAAAGGAGCGACACACAGCAGCAATTCACCGGAGAGTTCCGCTGCCAGTGTAAAGACTGCCATTACACTAAAAGAAGTGTCCCGATTATATAGGAAGGGGCATGAATTGATTGAGGTGTCACTTCTACGGGGCTGGTGGCTGTTGGCTAGGTGCTGGGATTGGGAGGGGAGCAAGAGGTGATTGGGCTTCAGGTGGCGCCGGCGGGAACCGAGGACCCCCGAAGAGAAGCCGGAAGTTTGCCATCTTACTGGTGGGGGCCCTTCACAGACTGTCTGGGCAAAGTGCCCTACACACCTTCACCTCTCCCACCTCTTGAGCCTGGCCTTTGTGGAACACATGCTGGTTCCAGGGTAGCATCTCCTGCCTGATCCTTTCTTGACCTGCCCATTCATAGAGTGACCCATCTATGCATCCCACCCTTCTGGTTGCTGACAAAGCACTTACCATTTTTTTATATACTATTAATTTTTTGAAAGAGCACTTTTTAATGCCAGTATATTGGCATTAAACTAACTCCAGATTCTGCCGTGGTGGGGGGAGGGGGATTGGATCAGTCTGTGCAGTAAGCATTTAGTGCTGGCCTATGTTGGTGGTACTGAGATATGTAAAAGTTCCTGTTCTCCAGTGAGACAGACAAACAGGAGTATAACATTATGAGAGTGCTAGGCCAGAAGGTGTGGAACAGGGAAGAGGGAAGCACCAGGAAGGACAGTTTGTCAAGAAAAGCTTTATTTAGGAAGTTGAAGGAGACTAGAAAGGAAAGGTAATATTTAGACACAAAACGGTAATATTTAGAGAAATGGTGAAGGGAGGAAGTTAGTTGAAGCAAGTGTGGGAGAACAAGAACAAGGGTGTGGGGGGAGGCCAGGGAGGAAGGGATGAACAGTTACACATTCTGTGCCAGGCATATGCTAGGTAGCTTACACATACTAATCCATTAGCTCCTCGTGATGGCCTGTGAGGTAGGTTGTAGTATCTCTATTTCGTAGATGAAAAAACAGGCCCATTAACAAGGTTTAATGACTTATCTGAGATGTTGCTGATAAGTGGCAGGGTCAGCATTTGAGCTCAGGTTATGTATGACTAAAGCTCTTACATTTGCTGCTTCCGAGGTCTGGGACTAAACTGTACAAGTGTCCAATTTTCTGTGTTTTGACTTCAGATACTCAGTTTTTACCTGGTTTCTGTATGTTGTCATCTCGTGTGCACCTGGTCCCTACACTAGCCCGGCTTGTCCATTCTTTCATCTGTGATTCTTCCCATTTTTGCATGGATTTGAAGGCTCTCCTTTCCTCCTTGAATGACTTTGCATCCCTCTCATTTGCTGAGAGTTGGGACAATGTTGGATTACTGGTGGAACCAAGCCCACCACACACTGTAAACACACTCTTCCTGACAAATGACTTGACTGAAGAGGTGATGGAGGAAGCACTGCGAAAGAAGGCAGATCTCATTCTCTCCTACCATCCACCTATTTTCCGACCCATGAAACGCATAACCTGGAAAACCTGGAAGGAGCGCTTGGTGATCCGGGCTCTGGAGAACAGAGTTGGTATTTACTCTCCTCATACAGCCTATGATGCTGCGCCCCAGGGAGTCAACAGCTGGTTGGCCAAAGGGCTTGGTGAGAAGCCTCTTGTTCTTTAATATTTTCCTTACAAATGCTTTGAATTTCAGATTGTCTTTCCAGTAGAATTTTTAAAAACTGCTTTAAAGGTTGGGGGATAATTTTTATCCTTAATGAATAAGAAAAGTATAGAAAATCTTCATTCCTGGGCTGAGCTCTGTCACTCCTCATGTGACACAGTGTCCAGTACCCAAGAACTCTAGAAATGCTTGTTAAATTGAATTGAAAGCTCAGACCTCTCCTGAATGTACTTCATATCTCAGTTTGGTAGATATCAGAGTTTTATTGAATGCTTACTTTTGCCCAGGACAATGAGGGAATTCAGCATATGTATGTTAGGTTTATTTTTAGTAAGCCTTTTTAGATTACTTATTTTGGGCTGAAGCTTTTATGATGATATAATCTGGACTGATGTGGTCAAGTAGATTATGAAGCATTTGCAACCTAAATCCTGGTTTACATGAGTAAATTTAGTCAGCAGTTACAATGCTGTATGTCATCTAAAAATTCCTGAGTCATTCTTTTTTGTCTAAATTTTTGTGATATTTAAGAATTGGAAAAGAATTGTGAAAGAACTGGAAAAGAATTTTGAAAATAAATTTGATGTTGTATGTACTAAATCCCTAGATTATGAGGACTGTTGGAGGTATATGTAAGAGATGTGTATATGTGTGTATGTTATATAAGCATCTGAGAATGAATCTTTAAAAAAATACAAAATTCTTATAAGTTTTGCCCATAATAGCTTATCTTCTTAATTAAAAAAACTCACAATTCTTTTTCTAGGAGTTTGTACCTCCAGGCCCATACATCCTTCCAAAGCTCCCAACTGCCCCACGGAGGGAACTCACAGAGTGGAATTCAACGTTAACCACATGCAAGAGCTGGACAAAGTCATCTCTGCGGTGAAAGGGATTGCAGATGTTTCTGTCACTTCTTTTTCTGCTAGGTACAATATATTTTTCTCTTTTATGTGTGTATTTGTAAGGATCTTCCATACAAATTCTATAATTCTGGTATTTAGGTTGGAAACAAATAATTTTTCCTGGAGTGGGTTTACAAAGCAGCATACTTCTTATCTGCATGTGAGTACTCAAAGAGAACCATGGAGTCTTTTCAAAACTGTAAAAATCATAAGTAATTCTTACTATTTTCTGTGTGGAAGGGACTATACTACACATTTTACATACAGTATTCTTAATACTCCTGATAATGTTGAGAGGTACTTTTTACTTTAGTGTATATAGATAAACCCTAGTGATACTATTGAAAATAGGTTTACTCTTATAGGTTTTTAGCATATCATTGATTCCCAAACACTTTAAGGAAAAATACATTAAAGTGCCTCTTATAAGGTCAATAATTTATTTAGGATAGGATACTGAAATGTTGCCTCATAGATTTTCTTTTAGGCTAATTAATACTAATATCTATTTAAGCATCATAAAAGACAAGTTTAACCCTACAAAGCTAGGATTTAGTAATTGTTTAAAAAATAAAGATAAATATGACTTAATAAAATGGAAATTTGAGTCAAGTTAAAGTGAATGGTTTTTAAGTGTGTGTACATATATATACATATATATATATACACATATACATACACACACCTTATAGTAAAATCATTGCAAATGTTCTCTAATATCTAATAGTGTTAGGGAATTTCAAGTATCTCAAGAAAATTATTTATAGGACTGCCTGATTACAGTCATACATGTCTTTTATCATAGTGAAATAATATGTAAATACTGAAGTTAAAAGTAAATTATCCAAATAAAACATGAAAAGTTAAACACAAAGTGCTCCTTGTCCCCTCTACTCAATCCCAGTACTTTCGATTCAAGTTGTCTTTTCCACTGTTTTCAGAGAATTGTGTATCTTTCCAAGTGCACATAGGGATGTGAAGAAATGTATATAGTTTTGTTTTATTCATTGTTTTCTTAATTAAATGATATGCTGTATTTGTCTTTTTTACTTAGCATGATGTCTTAGTGATCTTTCCATGTATATATATGACATCTTTTTTTTTAACTGATCAGTAGGTTTTCTTATTATGGCTGTATTGTAGTTTCTTTAAGTATTCTTCTCCCTAACTGTTTGGTTTCAGTTTTTCCCATTTAGTTTGGTTCCAGTTTTTCCATATTATAGATGATATTTGGGTTTTACTATTAGATTGGAGGCCAGGCATTCTTTTCCCTTTTTCTTTTCAGAGTTCTGCAGATGATTTCAAATGTTGACAACTGTTTTCCAGATTATCTTTTAAGGGGTCTTTTAGTTCTAGCATTCTATGATATATTTAGAATTTATGGTTAAATACAAAACTTTCTTGATGCCAGTCTTCTTCGAGAGGCTCTAGGGCATTGCTTCTCAAAAGACAATTCAAGGACTCCTTGCATCATTGTTAATGGGGTGCTTATGAAAAATGCAGATTTTTAGCTTCATTCTAGATCTTTTTAATTAAAATGGAGTTTGCCAGGAGATTCTTGTATTCAATTGTGTGTGAAAACTAAGTTCTCTAGGGCTTAAAAAAAAAACAGTTTGCCCCAGCCCCATTCATAGATGTTCTCTTTTACTGGATCTGTGGAAGGATCCAGCATTTTAAGACGTTTGCAGGAGATTTCAGATGCACAGCTGAGATTAAAAGCAGTTCTAGAACAATGGTTTCAAAGCAAGGTCATTGGACCAGCAACACTATCACCTGCAACTTGTTAGGTAAATTCTCAGACCCCATCTGGACCTACTGAGTCGGAGACTCTGGGAGTGGGGTCCAAAATGTGTGTTTTACTAAGTCCACAAGTTGATTTTGATGCATGTTAAAGCTTGAAAAAATGCAATTCTAGAAAACAGTTTGGTTTGGGATTAAATTCTAGATTTTATACAAAACGAATTTCTTAGTAAAGGAGGTTGTAAAATGTGGATTATTTAAAATACATTTTGTTTACATTTATCGTAAACCAACAAGTGATTTTTTTTTTCTAGGACTGATGATGAAGAACACACACGGATCAGTCTGAATTGTAGTCAGCAGGCTTTGATACAGGTGGTGGCTTTTCTTTCCCAGAACAGACAATTTTATCAGAAGACTGAAATTCTGTCACTAGAGAAGGTAATAAAAATATGCTACTGTGCATTCTTGTTTGGCAAATTCATTTATAAATTATTATATCAACAGGCTGTTAACGCTTACTTAAAGAAGCACAGAGTGGTGATGAGGGCACAGTATACCCTGGAAAGTACAATTGAGAAAGGGAGACATTTCAGGAATAGAAAAGTGTTGGTACTTGTCTTAGTCCATTTGGGCTGCTGTGACAAAACACCACAGACTAGATAGCTTATAAACAACAGAAACTTATTTCTCACAGTTCTGGAGGCTGGAAAGTCCAAGGTCGTGGTGCTGGCAGATGCAGAGTGGTGACTGGTGAGAGCCTGCTTCCTGGTTCATAGACGGCACCTTCTCTGTGTCTTCACCTGGTGGAAGGAACTAGGGATGTCTCAAGCCTCTTTTGTAAAGCACGAATTCCATTTGTGGGTTCTGGCCTTATGATTTAAGCACCTCCCAAGGGCTCTACCTCCTACTTCTATCACCTTGGGGAGTTAGGATTTCAACATGAATTAGTTGTGGGGGGACAGAAAACATTCAGACCCTGGCGGTACTGAGAGACTCAGTTACCAGGCAGCAGGTTGGGTCTCAGGCTCTGCCTGGGCCATTTTATTCACGCCTTTGACTTGACAGCCATTCATATGATGACGATTCCTGTGGCTTTATTTTCTGGCTCATAATGCTTTCTTAAGGTAAAAAATTTAAAAATGAACCCATAAAATACCCAGTACTTTTTGGACATTTTCCACTTACAGATCCCATAAGTACTTCAATCCAGGATATACAAATACCTTATTCCAACACTACCCAATCAAATGCTCCTTTTTTCTATTTTATTGCTGGTGTTATCATCTATCTTGCTTTCCAAGTTTCCACAGCTCTCTCCTGCTCCTCTGAATCCAAGCCCTGCTGATTCTGACCCTAAATCTATAAAATGTTTCTCCTATCTATTTGCTTTACCACCACAGTAGTTGAAACTTTTTATCTTCTTTCACTTGGGATGTGAGATCTCCTAAGTGGTCACCTATAGGAGACTATCCATGCTTTTTAGCCTAGTGTATGAAGCCCTTTGTGTCTGGCCTTCGCCCCTGTCTCCAGCCTCTTCTTTGTCCATCCCTTTCTCTGCGCATTAGCCACATTGTCTGCTTTTGGATTTGCCCTCAGCAAGCGGTCTTATCCCTTGGCACCTTTGTACATGTTCTCTCTTTTTAGTACAGCTTTTCACATTCCACCCTGTCCTTAACTTACCACGTTGCACTTGACCTAACTCCTTTTTGGTCTGTCTTGAAGACCTAAGTTTTTATAAAATCTTTGATTTCTCTTCCTCCAAGTGCTCCGCAAGTCCCAGCTCATTTGTCATTTCTTTATGCACCTGTAAAAATAGCACCTCTCTTGTATTTAAACACTTTCATTGTGGTTATTTGTCAAAACATCTGCCTTCCCAGGAGACTGAGATCCTAGACGTCCGAAGATGTTTTTGTCAGGGTTGCATCCCCAGACTTAGCCTGAAGCTGGCTATAGAAAGCTCAGGGTACATGTTTTATTGATCTCAGCATTTGCTATTTGTTCTATAGGTTCATTTTCTAGGAGTAATGATGGGCAGATTTTTTTTTTTTTAATGGGAAGATTTTTTAACCTCTGTTTCTCTTTAGCCTCTGCTTCTATACACTGGAATGGGACGCTTATGCACACTGGAGGAATCTGTTCCCTTGGTATTTTATCAGAAGACTGAAATTCTGTCACTAGAGAAGGTAATAAAAATATGCTACTGTGCATTCTTGTTTGGCAAATTCATTTATAAATTATTATATCAACAGGCTGTTAACGCTTACTTAAAGAAGCACAAAGTGGTGATGAGGGCACAGTATACCCTGGAAAGTACAATTGAGAAAGGGAGACATTTCAGGAATAGAAAAGTGTTGGTACTTGTCTTAGTCCATTTGGGCTGCTGTGACAAAACACCACAGACTAGATAGCTTATAAACAACAGAAACTTATTTCTCACAGTTCTGGAGGCTGGAAAGTCCAAGGTCGTGGTGCTGGCAGATGCAGAGTGGTGACTGGTGAGAGCCTGCTTCCTGGTTCATAGACGGCACCTTCTCTGTGTCTTCACCTGGTGGAAGGAACTAGGGATGTCTCAAGCCTCTTTTGTAAAGCACGAATTCCATTTGTGGGTTCTGGCCTTATGATTTAAGCACCTCCCAAGGGCTCTACCTCCTACTTCTATCACCTTGGGGAGTTAGGATTTCAACATGAATTAGTTGTGGGGGGACAGAAAACATTCAGACCCTGGCGGTACTGAGAGACTCAGTTACCAGGCAGCAGGTTGGGTCTCAGGCTCTGCCTGGGCCATTTTATTCACGCCTTTGACTTGACAGCCATTCATATGATGACGATTCCTGTGGCTTTATTTTCTGGCTCATAATGCTTTCTTAAGGTAAAAAATTTAAAAATGAACCCATAAAATACCCAGTACTTTTTGGACATTTTCCACTTACAGATCCCATAAGTACTTCAATCCAGGATATACAAATACCTTATTCCAACACTACCCAATCAAATGCTCCTTTTTTCTATTTTATTGCTGGTGTTATCATCTATCTTGCTTTCCAAGTTTCCACAGCTCTCTCCTGCTCCTCTGAATCCAAGCCCTGCTGATTCTGACCCTAAATCTATAAAATGTTTCTCCTATCTATTTGCTTTACCACCACAGTAGTTGAAACTTTTTATCTTCTTTCACTTGGGATGTGAGATCTCCTAAGTGGTCACCTATAGGAGACTATCCATGCTTTTTAGCCTAGTGTATGAAGCCCTTTGTGTCTGGCCTTCGCCCCTGTCTCCAGCCTCTTCTTTGTCCATCCCTTTCTCTGCGCATTAGCCACATTGTCTGCTTTTGGATTTGCCCTCAGCAAGCGGTCTTATCCCTTGGCACCTTTGTACATGTTCTCTCTTTTTAGTACAGCTTTTCACATTCCACCCTGTCCTTAACTTACCACGTTGCACTTGACCTAACTCCTTTTTGGTCTGTCTTGAAGACCTAAGTTTTTATAAAATCTTTGATTTCTCTTCCTCCAAGTGCTCCGCAAGTCCCAGCTCATTTGTCATTTCTTTATGCACCTGTAAAAATAGCACCTCTCTTGTATTTAAACACTTTCATTGTGGTTATTTGTCAAAACATCTGCCTTCCCAGGAGACTGAGATCCTAGACGTCCGAAGATGTTTTTGTCAGGGTTGCATCCCCAGACTTAGCCTGAAGCTGGCTATAGAAAGCTCAGGGTACATGTTTTATTGATCTCAGCATTTGCTATTTGTTCTATAGGTTCATTTTCTAGGAGTAATGATGGGCAGATTTTTTTTTTTTTAATGGGAAGATTTTTTAACCTCTGTTTCTCTTTAGCCTCTGCTTCTATACACTGGAATGGGACGCTTATGCACACTGGAGGAATCTGTTCCCTTGGCAACCATGATTGAGCGAATCAAAAGACACCTAAAACTATCTCATGTTCGCCTTGCTTTTGGGGTAGGGAGGACCTTAGGTAAATATATCTCCTTTATTTGTCCAGTATATACTTACTGATAATGTTGGGCAAAAGTCATAGCTCTTGGTTGTATTCATATGAGTGATAGAAAATGTGCTAGGAATTCAAGGGTGATGACTGGTTTACTTTATGGATCAGGATGAGGTAGGTTATTCTATGGTATACATCTCATTGGCTTAAACAAGATTTATCTCACTCATATTCCTCGTTCATCTCAACCCAGCAGGTGAAGTCTATTCTTTGTAGACTGGTCGCTGTTACAGGAGAGTTTTCGAGGGTCTTAAACCATCAGTTAAACATTCAAACCTGGAAATGACACATATTCTATTAAAATCATTGTCCAGAATTAGTCACATTGCCCAACATAACCCAGTGGGGGCATGAAGTGCAGTCTTACAATGTGCCAGGAAGGAAGAGAGCTCTAAATTTTGACTGTTCCAATTACAATGTATTTTGCATTTTACAATACTGGTCATACTTCATAGTGAGGTGCTACTAATGAAGTGATCTGCTGCAGTTTCTGAGTCTTATAGCCAGTCATTGTCTTTTGGCCTTTCCTAGTACTTTTTGGGAACAACAGGAACAAACAGAACATTTGTGGGACCACCGTAGTGAGCCTAGCACTGTGCTGAGTGTCCTGAGCTGTGAGTTCCCACTGCAAAGGCAGGGAGTGAAGCACAGGTGTTAGGAGTGTGGATTTTGAATGTCTTGGGTTCAAATTGAGATGTCCTATTTGCTGCATGACCTTGACAAGTTATTTGACTTCTGTGTCCTGGTAGCCTCATCTGTAAAACAGAAGTAGTAATAAAACCTAACTCATTGAGGTAGTAGTGTGATCCATGTAACAAGAACCAGTGGTGCACATTTGTACAGTAAATGCTGGCTGCTGTTAGCTATGTGGTGGTGGTAGTGTTCCCATTGTCTTATAAGTGAAAATTTTAGGTGCAGAGAGATAAGTAACTTAGCCAAAAGTCCACCGTTGGAACAAACAACTTCAGGGAATTTGTTTCCAAAGAAAGTGGATGGCAGAGGTGCGATTTGACTTCTTATCCAACTCCACAGCCCCTCTTTTGAAATGCCTAATAGGGTGACCACTGATGGAGTATCCATTCTAGAAGACTAAGTGCTAAATGCTTGTTGGATTTTGGCTTGAAACTGTATGTTATTTCACTCTTCAGAAGATGCTCTTTCAGGATAAAAGGATAGATATGAAATTAAAAAAATATGTATCAAATTAATTCACAGCATTCTTGTAACTAGTCCTTTTAGTTTAGCAGCTTTCTCATGTGAGAAAAGAGATAGTACCTATTTACCTCTCACTGCTGCCAAGAGACCCAGATGGGGTTCCTTTACTTGTGATAAAGCCTAGAGTTGATCCATTAGCACTAATTCAGTGGTGCCTTATATGGGTATGTGTAGTCATTACGTCTGAAGGAATAATAAACCTGCCTTTGGTTAGTGATGCAATACCAAAAACATCTGTTTGCCTATATGAAGACACTTTGTTATTTTATGAGGTCAGTAAGCAAAATTTATATACTCATGATGAGACCAGGAGTGAAAACTACATTTAGGATTCCTAGTATAAACTATAATAGTAAAATGAGGGAAACTGTAAAGTATTGGTTTCTTGTTTCCTTTATATCGAAGAGTCCCAAGTCAAAGTCGTGGCTCTGTGTGCTGGTTCTGGGAGCAGTGTTCTGCAGGGGACAGAGGCCGACCTTTACCTCACAGGTGAGACAGCATTTGGATCTCTCTTCTACCCTTTTTATGTGTATCTTTACCCAACCTTTCTTTAGTATTTTTTAACTTCTAAAAAATAGATTTTAGGACAGCATATGGCATATAGATGGATCTAATGGATGTTTTTGAATTTGAACTAAACAGGAATGATACCAAAATTGAGGACATACTCTATGTTTTGTGGTGGGAAACAAAAAACTTTAATAATTTATTATTAGATTATCTGAGAATAACCAGCATTTTTAAAATGTTTCTTCTCCCTAAACATGATTTCTCAGATTTTGTGTGTCTGTTAAGAGGATACTTCCTACCTTGCTGCCTTAGATAGAAAATGGTTCCTTTTACTCAACCCTAAAGTCAATTATCAGAAAGAAAAATCAGGAAAACAATTATATTAACAATTGCATCAAAAAGAATAAAATACCTAGGAATAAACCTAATGAAGGAAGTGAAAGACCTATACTTGAAAACTATAAGACACTCATGAGACAAATTAAAGAAGATACAAATAAATGGAAACACATCCCATGCTCCTGGATAGGAAGAATTAATATTGTCAAAATGGCCATCCTGCATAAAGCAATCTACAAATTCAATGCAGTTCCTATCAAAATACCAACAGCATTCTTCAACGAACTAGAGAAAATAGTTCTAAAATTCATATGGAACCACCAAAGACTCCGAATAGCCAAAGCAATCCTGAGAAGGGAGAATAAAGCTGGGGGATTACACTCCCTGACTTCAAGCTCTACTACAAAGCCACAGTAATCAAGAAATTTGATACTGGCACAAGAACAGACCCATAGACCAATGGAACAGACTGGAGAGCCCAGATATAAACCCAAGCATATATGGTTAATTAATATACGATAAAGGAGCCATGGACATACAACAGAGAAATGACAACCTCTTCAATAACTGGTGTTGGCAAAACTGGACAGCTAAATGCAGGAGAATAAAACTGGATTATTGTCTAACCCCATACACAAAAGTAAACTTGAAATGGATCAAAGATCTGAATGTAAGTCATGAAACCATAAAACTCTTAGAAGAAAACATAGACAAAAATCTCCTGCATATAAACATGAGCAACTTTTTCCTGAACGCATCTCCTCGGGCAAAAGAAACAAAAGCAAAAATGAACAAATGGGACTACATCAAGCTAAAAAGCTTCTGTATAGCAAAGGACACCATCAGCAGAACAAAAAGGCATCCTACAGTATGGAAGAATATTTGTAAACAACATATCCAACAAGGGGTTAACATCCAAAATATATAAAGAACTCACACACCTCAACACCCAAAAAGCAAATAATCTGATTAAAAAGTGGGCGGGGGATATGAAGAGACAATTTTCCAAACAAGAAATTCAGATGGCCAACAGGCACATGAAAAGATGCTCCACATCACTAATCATCAGGGAAATGCATATTAAACCACAATGAGATATTACTTCACACCTGTTAGGATGGCCAATGTCAAAAGACAAGGAACCACAAATGCTAGCGAGGATGCGGAGAAAGGGGAACCCTCCTACACTGCTCTTGGGAATGTAAGCTAGTTCAACCATTATGAAAAGCAATATGGAGGTTCCTCAAAAAACTAAAAATAGAAATACCATTTGATCCAGTAACTCCATTCCTAGGAATTTACGTGAAGAAAACAAGATCCCTGATTCAAAAAGACATATGCACCCCTATGTTTATTGCAGCACTATTTACAATAGCCAAGATATGGAAGCAACCCAAGTGTCCATCAGTAGATGGATGGATAAAGATGATGTGTACATATACATAATAGAATATTATTCAGCCATAAGAAGAAAACAAATCCTAGCATTTGCAACAACACTGATGGAGCTAGAGGGTATTATGTTCAGTGAAATAAGCCAGGTAGAGAAAGACAAGTACCAAATTATTTCCCTCATTTGTGGAGTATAACAACAAATCAAAACTGAAGGAACAAAACAGCAGCAGACTCACAGACTCCAGTAAGGGACTAACGGTTACCAAAGGGAAGGGATAGGGGAGGCTGGGTGGGGAGGGAGGGAGGAAGGGAGAAGGGGATTAAGGGGCATTATAATTAGCACCCACAATATAGGTAGGTCATGGGGAAGGCAGAATAGCACAAAGAAGACAAGTAATGACTCTATAGTATCTTACTATGCTGATCGACAGTAATCGCAATGGGGTGTTGTGGGGGGATTTCATAGCATCGGTGAATGTTGAAACCACAATGTTGCTCATGTGAAACCTTTATAAGATTGTATATCAGTGATACCTTAATAAAAAAAATTCTGTTTGCTAGTATTTTGCTGAGGATTTTTGCATCTGTGTTCCTTAAGTATATTGGACTGTTGTTTTCTTTTCTTTTAATTTGTCTGGTTTTGGTATCAAGGTGATGCTGTCCTTGTAGAATGAATTTGGAAGCTTTCCTTCTTCAATTTTTTGGAGGAGTTTGAGGATAGGTATTAACTCTTATTTAAATGTTTGGTAAAGTCTCCTGTGAAGTCTTGAGCTTTTGTTTGCTGGGAGTTTTTTACCAATTCAGTTTTATTACTAGTGATCAGTCTGTTCAGATTTTGTTTTTTCCTGGTTCAGTCTTAGAAAATTGTATGTTCCCAGGAAGTTATCCACTTCTTCCAGGTTGCCCAATTTGTTGTCCTATAATTTTTTATAGTAATCTTTTACAGTTGTATTTCTGTAGTGTCATTTGTAACTTCTCATCTTTCATTTGTGATTTTATTTACTGCTTCTCTCACTTTTCCTTGGTAAGACTATCTAACAGTTTGAATATCTTACAGTATGGTGTGTGACTATTTTAAATTATAACATTTTACTTTAAAGGAATTTCAGATCGATAGAAAAGTTCCAAGAATAGTACAATAAACTCCTTTAAATTTCCCTTCGCTTAAATTATTAATGGTTGTTTTGCAACATTTGTATGTTCTCTCTGTACACATATATATGTGCATATACTTGGGTGTATATAAATATATACTTATGTATTTGTGACTCCATAAAACTATTTTGTAATAAAATTGCAGACATGATGACCTTTAACACCTATACGTCAGCATATATCTCCCAAGAACCTCGAGGACATTTTCTTAAATGCCCATGGAATAATGATCAAATTCAGGAATTTAATATTGTTGAAACACTTGTTTAATATACAGTCTATAATCAGTTTCATTGATCAAACTTAATAGCTTTTCTGTTTCTCATCGATATCCAATCCCTGATCACAGGCTGCATCTGGAAGAGTTCCTCAGCTCTGTCTTCGAGCACTGACACTTTTGAAGAATACAGGTCAATTGCTTTGTAGTGTCTCTCTCAGTTTGGGGTATCTCATTGTTAGCTTGTAAAATGACTTTTTTTATAACTAGTTTTTTATTATAATGCAGTGTGTTCGTAAGAGAAATTCATGCAGTTCCAAAATGAAAATGTCCTTCCTATCTAGTTACTTGAGGAAATAGAAAATATCCAAGCTGGCTAATCTTAGATATCTATGATCTATAAGGTATTACTTTGAATGTAACTTCAGAGATGGGAAGCACCAGCCCAAAGACCAAGTATAGGCCTCTGGTAATGTTCATCACCCTTCCTTGGAGCCTGGCAGGGTTATTAGATTGTTAAGGGTAATAGCTTAGAAAGACCAGCAGGTGGGGAGCTTGCTCTTTGCAAATACGAATTCTCTCATTCACCTTTTCTTTCCCACAGCTGCCATTTGAGCCAGGTTTCTTTCCTTTGCCTTCAGCGGTTATTGCAGGGTCCTCACAGATTTCCCCACTTTCATGCCTGCTCCAGCCAGTGCATTTATAACACTCCAGGCTTGTCTTCCCTAAACTCAGACATGTCTTTCCTAAAGCATGGCTTCTATCTGGTTCACATTTATGTCTTTTTTCCTTTTAATTTACCTTTACTCTTTGGATTAAGATGTTCTAGTAGGTGCTTGAATAAAAACTATTCCTTATAATGAAATGACACATATTGGGGGTATAGGGAGTGTAGGGAATTACAGATTTCTGGGGGAAGAAACTTTTTTCTCCAAGAACCTATTTTTCCTTATTTTTATGCCTTTATGCCTCTAAATATACTTCAAAATTACGCTTTTTTTGAACAGCCCAAATATGCAGAATGTCTTTGCTCTTAATTATGTCATCAGTTTCACAAATGGCATTTAAAAAAATTCTAAACATGTTTTCCCTAAATCATTTCACTAAAGATGAGAAACTCTTCTACCAGTAATGCCAGAATTCCAGGAATTCTGAGTAAATGAAAGAAAAATGAATATGCTGTTTTTAATTTATAAATAAACAAGCTCATTTCATCTTTATTAGACTAGGGTTGATGCTGAAAATTTTGGTGCTCACAAAGCATAAAGGAGTCTTCTGGGATGATTACTTAGGATTTTCTTGGGGTATTTGTTATTTAATATGTACATAAGAAAAATTTTCTGGAAGTCCCCACTGTACTCCCCAGAGCTAAATGTGGAAACATTTGAATGGGTTCCTATGGGTCTGGTTCTGGCAGTATAAGAAGCCATTGGATGTGTGGGTTTGGATACTTATCTTGGGTCCGCCAAGGAAAAGGACTTGTAATTCTCAATGGGATCATCTCTGCTTCTTTTAAAATTGGAAGACATGTAAGAAACTCATACACAACTTTCTAGATTTATGTCAAGTTCTGCTGTATTACGTTTCATACAGAATACACACTTGGTATTTCTGTTATGATTCAGCATTCCACACATTCCTTGTCTGATACTTAAGTATTTGTGCTTTCCTTTTTTGGCAGGTGAGATGTCCCATCATGATATTCTGGATGCTGCTTCCCGAGGAATAAGTGTCATCCTCTGTGAACACAGCAACACTGAACGAGGCTTTCTCTCTGACCTTAGAGATATGCTGGGCGCTCATTTGGAGCATAAGATTAATATTATCCTGTCAGAAGCAGACAGGGACCCTCTTCATGTGGTATAATGCATACAGGAACAGGATGACACAATCTACAAATCGATTGGTTCCCAATTTGAATGCACAACATGGATCAATGAAGTTGGTATCTTCTGGAAGAATCTTACAATGTACGTTATCATTTCTAGGTTGTAAGGTGAAAACAGTAATGTAGTTACCACTGAAGAACAACTATTAATTATAAAGAACAAATTATATAACTAGGATATATAAAGTATATATATTCATTATAAACTTTAGTGAAGACCAACTAACATTCTTTGGAAATAGCTCAAGTAATCCTCTCTTTAGCTTAATTGTAGATGGGATGTGTCATTCTAGATTTCTCAGCCTTTGGTTAAAAATGTATGTTAATAACTTGGGATTGAAACACTTATTTCTAGGTAGTAGCTTCTAGGGGATGATAAGGTCTGTAAGTTCTTGTTTCTGGATCACTAATCTACCACCTGAATTTCAAAATCAGGATTAGGGTGTTTTTTTTTTCTTTAAATGCTCATTATTCATGTAACTATTATTGCCTCTTAGGTAACGCACATGTAATTTTATTAGGAATATCTAAAGACGGTTAGCTTTTAAAATACTAATGATTACTTACACAGTATTAATCTTGTGCCAGGCATTCTTGTAGGTATCAACCCTTAAAAATGTATTTAAGTATCATTATTCCTGCTTTTACAGGCAAGGAGACAAACAGAACCTTCAGACACTTGGCTGATTCTCCTTCCATCTCTTTGGTGCCTCCCAACTCTCTATTGTGGGCATAAGGCTCATTTCAGTCATTTTTGTAGTAATATTATGGTGAACCACCAAGACCCTGCTTGCACACGGCCACATAGCTGGGCAGTGATGGACTTAGGATGCAAACTCAGGCAGTCTGGCCCTGGAGCCTGTGTGCTTAATTACTTTAGTTGACATTGATTAAACTGATGTACAAGGTACAGAAGAAATCCTGAAGGAAAAAAACAATTCTAACTGATTTTCTCTGGATGATATGGTGGGAGATTTTTCTTTTTAATGCTTTTATACATATTTCCAGTTTCTCTGCTGAGCATGTTACTTTGATAATGACAAAAGTAAATCTTAAAATGCTGTATATAATGAGAAAGCATAGAACTTAAAATTTCTTTTGTAGGACACCTTTCCTGCCAATCAACTTACAAATTATTCTTGGTGGTTCACCTGTGATATTACTACAGAAATAACTGAAATGAGCCTTATGCCCACAATTAGGGAGTTGGAGGAGCCAAAGAGATGGGAGGAGAATCAGCAAAGTGTCGAAGCCAAAAAGTAGAATGTTTCTGTGAGGGATGGTCAACAGCATCAAAGCCAAAATGAGGTGACAGGAGAAACTCTCTTAATGGTTTGCTTCAGTCATGCATCATTTGCTTTCTGTGTGCTGGGCCCACTGGAGATGTGGGAAAAACAGACAGACATTCGGATGATGATCACAACTCTTAAGTAAATATGTTAAGGCTATGCATAGGGCTTATAGGGAAGCTTTTCTGGGGAAAGGGTGTAATTCAGTCAAAAGGGACAACTTAACCAAATGCACTGAACAGAAATAACCCAATACATTGAAAAGCCCAAGAAATTGACTCTCAAACCCTTTTTTCTTTATAGCACACTTAAGGTAGGACATGATTTCATGTGTGAGTACCCATGATGGCATTTAGGATCTCATGGAGTTGAAGACTGTGGATTAGTTCCTTTGAATTGAGTTCCAGAAAGGATTAAATGGGTCAAATAATTTATGATTGAACATACTTATCGCCAAGGTTTTAATGACATTATTGCTGTAATAAATTTTATAAGTTGCTTTACTGGCATGTTAGCATTTCTAAGTAACTAAAAATATTCCCAAAACAAAGAATCTTCAGTGGTACTTTATTTTCACTTGTCAAGTTTTTTGAACTGTTAACTTTCTTTGAGGTATTGCTTATTTGTAATGTATTACTGCTTTTCAAATGTTAATATGCACAAGAACTCAGGAGATTTTTTAAATCTGGATTGATTCAGATGCTTGCGTAGGGCCCAAGTATCTCTAAGCTCTGAAAAGATGCCGATGCTGGCGTTCTGAGGACCACACGTTGGACAGCAAAAGTAAAGATGGTAACCTAATACCTGAGAACACTTGAGGCCAATCTGGTATACACCGAACTGTTAATGAAAATTTGGTGATGAGCTTTATGTTACTCAAGTTTGAAGTTTTATTTTCCATAGCATCAGTTATTTCAGATTTATTCAACATATTAAGGATACTCCTTAATTTTTAATTCTCTTAAAAAATCTCATACATAATTTCGTATTTTATTTTCATATCCTCAACAACTCCTGTCTAGCATGGAGCCTTCTAGGTAGTCTTAAGTGCTCAAGAAACCTGAATTAAATTATTTTTAAAAGTAATTTGAAAAATCAAAATGCGGGAGCCTCTCCCGAGGAAGAAATCAAGTAACTACTCAAAGCATGACAACAAAGTTATGTACATAATGATTCTTTCATTCCTCAGTTTCTAGGAGCCACATACTCTGTGGCAAGGCAGACCCTCACAACTCACTATCTGATGGCTACGCAGGACTAAACTGGAAGGGTCGTCTTACCTAGAATGCAGGAAAATACATTCTGAACAATGTACCTGGCTCCAAATTTGAATTAGCTGGGGGTAAAAAAAAAAACACTTCTAAGGTTTAGTTTTTTTTCCTTTTTTTAGAAAGCAAAACTTATTAACCATTCCCTAACTTTCAGGGCTTTTATATGAATGAGATGTTCATATATTAAAATGGCAAGCATGATGCTATGAAGGTCCGTTTTGTGGAGTGTCACAGTAACTGATGTAGCATGCCTTGCCTAAGGAATTAAGTACTCCATCAAGTTTGTAGAGTGTAAATATCTGTTCTACATCCCATGTGGCTTTTTGGGGGGCCTATTTATTTAGCCATTTTATTAAGAGCAGCCTGATAAATCTTAGAAGGTTACAGGTCTGTTCAGTCTTACCAGAAGCAAGGAATAGAATTTGGAGTCTTAGCTGTTGAACCCCAGCTTAAGGAACATTGATGTTGAAACAAGTTAATGAAGAGCATATAATAATTCTAAGATCTTCATCAGATCTATTAAGATGCACTCATAAAATTTTTGAAGCACTTCAAGCTATTTTTAGTAAAAACCCAGTCCTCTAAAAAAAAAAGTGATTCTACACAAATTGGCTATTTATTAAAAGTAGACTGTTGACACATACAGCTTGCAAATAGTATAGACACAAAAATTATAAAAATAAACCAGAAATTTAAGGGCAAATGCAAGTTTACACATAAGGTCATTAAAGATTTTATATACTTTTTTATACTATAAGTTATAAACTAGATATATTGAGCAAAAAAAGCAAGGTGCAAACCAGCAAGTATCGTCTGTGCTACCATTTGCGTTTTTAAAAGGAGATAGACAAATACCCTTACATATGCATAGAGCACCTCTGTGGGAATACTTGAACTGCTACCCATGCTTGCCTAAGGGGCTGGATTCGGAAATGGGGAGACTCACTTTTCATTGACTATCCTATTGTACAATTAAAAATACATGTACAAATTTAGTATTTAGTAATTATATTTAAGACAACCCTTAATACATGGATTTAACATAAAAGTAATTATTGCCACAAAGGAGTTATTTAAAAAATTCTAAGCATTTTGGAAAATATTTTCATGAAAGGGGTTTGTATGGTAAATAATGGGTAAAAAATGCTAACGTGGTACATACTTTATTACTTGTATTTTAATGAAGAATTTCATTTCCAAGGATGAAGTATTTTAGGGAGTATGCAAAGACCATAAACAGCCTGCAGTGGCCAAAGGCTCATCTTTTTTTTCTTTCTGAAGAAAAAAGGCTTGTGTAAATATTTAGGAGGCTTGAAATTGTCACTTTAAGAAAAAAATATTGAAATGCCTTGGTGAGTTTTAGGTCTATTTAATAGAGAAATCAAAATTAATTTAAGCTAACCATTAATATGCTAGTCACCTGCATGTTATTCAAGAAAAGAAAAATATGTTAATATATAAGAATAATTAAAATTCTATCTTCTATTGTCTTGAAAACAGTGACAAAAATATAATTCAGGATTGTGTTTCTAGCCTGGCTTCTCACTTCTACCATGAAGGTGATGGCACAAACATTATCTGTCTGAATATCATGACCTATTATTATTCATGTGCTTTCTATGGTTGGGTATATTCTAGGTACTCGTTATGTTTTTCCCACTATCCCAGCTGAATAGTGTGGCATGCCCCCTCTTCCTGTACCAGGATGTAGACTAAATCCAAAAGGAGAAACTGGATCACCTTACTTTTCCCCAATCTAAACTTTCTGGTAAGCCATTACAGAAAGAGTTAAGAGGGGATCTGCCTTCTCCATTACACTCATCAGTTCTGACACACAGAAGAGCAAATGGAGCAGATTTACGTGATGCCAGTGTCTTGGTACTTCCATGCTCTGGAACAAGCACATTTACAAACAGCTCTGGGAGTGTTAACAGACCCTTCAAAACATTATGAATATCATCATCTCTGGTATAAAAGAATGCAAAACATCCAGTTCCAAATAGTCCCTGAGCACACTTCATTCCAGCAAGAGAGGTAATGAATGAAAGGCACATTTTCTCCAACTTGAGGACCACTGCATAGTACTAGAGATGGTACACCAGCCAGGCTAATCAAGGTTCTAACTGATGAATTCCCCCCTCCCAGTTTTAACTCTTATATACTGGAAACAGTCTGTTAGATGTAAACACAACACTTTAGAGGAGTGGCAGCTGGGGTACAGCAGCCCTTCCACTGAAGATTCAAGAGGAAAGAATAGTTTCAAGACTCCTCTTCTTCCTTTTCCAGGAAATCAGTCAATGTTCCATTGTCAACAGGAATAAATAAATACTCCACTCCATCCGTTCCCTGAAGATAGAAGAATACCCTGCATGTTAGTCGTCTGTAAAGATACTTGAATCCTTATTACAGGATAGATTTTAAAAAATGGATTTGATTTCTTGAATGTTTTTTAAATTTGTTTTTATTAGTATTTTTTTCTTTAATGTTTTATATAAATACAGGAGAATAAAGATTAAGACAAAGGGACACACAGCCATATGTATCTACTTAAATATACTGAGTTTATAGTCACACCACTTTATAGTGGTAAGATAACTAGAGTGTGAGTAGGTAGGTATTCACTTTATTCTTCCTCCTGCTTTTTCTAGAATCTTAATGTATTGATGTTTTTGTTCTTTCATCCCCCTTTCAATTGGATCCTTCCCAGTGGCTTTGAACATATTTAGGTGTGTCCTATTTAAAAATAACCCTCACTAAATCTCTTACTTCTCTCCAGCTATCACCCAACCTCTGTACCTTCCAGAAGAGCGATCTATAAATGGGAGTCTTCATGGCCTCACTATTCACTCAGCCCAGTCCAACCCAGCTACTGCTACCATTATCATGTCACCAAAGGAACTTTGGCTTAGACCACCAAGGAATTCCATATTCCTAAAGCCAAAAGGTATTTTCAGTCTTCCTCTTCTGGTCCTCTTGGCAGCACGTGACACTGACCATTCTTTCTGAAAACATGCTTCTCTTAACTTCTGCAACATCACGCCCTGCTTTTCTTACTGTTTCTTTTATCTCTGTAGGCTTGTCCTCTACTTGGTCATTACATGTCACACTTCTAGGCTCAGGTTTTGGCCATCTAATCTCACTGTATGTCCTCTGTCTAGGTAGTCTCACCAATGCCTGGTTTCAGCTATAATCTAAATATACAGGAATCAGTCTTGTACCTTTAGCCCAGATCTTTCCTCTGGTTTCTTGTGCCAGGAATCCAACTGCCTAGTTAACTTCTCCACTTGGAAATCTCAAAGGATCCTCAGTAAGTTTACACATACTACAATCATGAACTCATGATCTGTCTGCCCAGAAATGTCGCTTTTCCAGTTACCCCATCATCTTTCTGGTTATACAAACCAGAAACCAGGAATCACTCTTGGCACTTTCCTTTCCCTTGGGTTCCACATCCAACTTACCAGTTCTTGTCAACATTGCGCCCAAGTACAATCCCCACCACCTGTTTCTATTCCCCCTACTGCAAGTTTACCGTCATCTCACTCCAACTACTAATACCTTCCTAGCTGGTCTCTCTGTGCATCCCCTCTAGGCAATCCCCAACCCACTCTGCCCCAGAGGCAGAACAATTTTTTCATGATTTCCCATTATTTTAGAATAAAGACCAAAATCCTTTCCTTGGCCTAAAGTCATACATAGTCTAGCCTTTACATCCTTGTCTTTTCAGTCTCATCTTGTACCATGCTGGCCTTCCAGCAGTGTTCTTCCCCTCCTTCTCTGCCTAGTTATCTCCTTGTCTTCCTTTAGATCTCAGCTCAGTGGTCTCTTTTGATACCCATAATTAGGTCAAATCTACCTATTTTAACATGCTCTTTACATTTAAAATTTTTCATGTGATTGATTACTCAACAAATGTCCATCTCCTTCATTAGACTTTCAGCTCTATGAGAAAGGAATTAGGTTTTTGCTTACTACTGTATGCTCATACTTAGTGCGGTATCTGGTATATAGTTAGAGCTCAATAAATTACAGACCAGATTAATGAATGGGGTAGAAGGAAGAGAGAGAAGGGAATAGAATTACTTTTCTCATAATATATTTCTAATTGCCTATTACTCTGGACTAGAACTCCTAAGTTTTATGCTCAATGCTGAAGCCGAATATTTCTGCTTTCTCTCTCTCTACAGAACTCAAATGGCACATTGCCTAAATGGATCCTTGTGACCCATCAAGGAACCTCAGTTTCATAATAAAATCTAAGTCAAAGCCATACTTATCCATAAGTAGACGAGACACATCATTCCTGGCATATGATGTTACAACAGTAGAGTCTCACCTTCTTCATTCTTAGAAGCTTGTGGTCCCTAAATTCAGTTAACTGGGCCCGAAGTGTCGTATCACTGTTGACAAGGAATGCCTCCCGACACTCCTGGTAAAAATCTTGAAAAGAGAGTCCTAGGGAGTTAAAAAGGAAATGTGAACATAAGTCAGCACTTAAGGCAACTCCATATATGGATACCCATATCAAAGAACACAGAAAAAAGGTGCTGTTGCCTTAGTCAGTCAGGATTGGTTTTTTGTAAGTATGTACCTCTGAAGAAGCAAAACTACAGAATATTAGGTGTTATACACTGTGACTTAGATTTCTTAAAGAGAAATGATTGGTTTAAAGCTGACTGTGCCAAGTATAACAATCTTGTGAGCAGTTTTAAACAGCATGGATAAAGCTGACTTTTAAACAGCAAACTAGTTAAGTCATGACAGCTGAACAATTATTAAAATGTTTAACAGATTGTTCTTACTTAAGGGCAAGAAAATATCCCAATGTATGGAATACATGTAATTGGTTGACACATATCTGTAGTTAGCACAGGAAATTTAAAAAGTAAGCTAGGTTTATGTTTCTATTCACATTGGCAAACAGCCTGTTTAGCAGCTTGAATGGCTGCTTGAAAATGCCCTGTGTGGCAGATGCACTGTGGCAGACGCACTTGATCATGTAGCAAACCACTTCACTGCTGTGAAAAACCGTGGTGCTATTATTAGACCCCAGAAAAGGGAATTTATGGGGTGAAGCACAAGTCACACAATTTAATATCATAAATATTGGATACCAATGTAAGAAGGGTTATCTTGGTTATCCAGCTGGTACTTCATTAGTAGCCTGAAAATCCCCCTAAGGAAAAAAAAACAAAACACAGGAATTCAAATACAAAACATTAACATAAAAAGATAACAGCAAGTTGTAAAAAACACCAAGAGAATGTGAAATACTTGGCCTGTCTATATTATCTTCAGTTTCTTTCTTCAAGGATCATAATATCCTGATCTACTTAAAAAGAGAAGCTTTTAAAATTTCCTTTTAAGGAAAATTTAGGAATTTTTTTTTTTTTTTACTATAGGTTAGTCAACACTAGCAAATCTGGAATGTAAAACAAAATCTAAGTAGAGAAAAAATCCTGTAACTCTAAAATAATAGCAACTAACATCTAATATGGAGATTGTATTTGCGTATGCTGCTTTCTTAAATCTTTGTAGGATAAGGCACAGTGGAAACAAATTCATGCATTTATATATGGTATATACTATTATAAACCTCACTTTTTCACTTACTGATGTTCCCATGTCTTTTAAGATCTTTCTTATACAGTTTCTACTGGCTGCTCATCTATCGTATCATGTACCACAAACTTACCATTTCCCTACTGGTTTTGGATGTTAACATTACTTCCAATTTTAATTATTAAAAATAAGTCCATATTAAATAAAATTATATATAAATGTTCTTTCATATTTTAAATTATTTCTATAGGGGACTACACAGTAGAATTATAGGATTGGAAGCTGTGTTACACTAACTTATTCTTAACAGTCCTTGGGTATGGACAAATTTTAAGCCTTTGCATTTTCATTTTTATGATAATTAAGAGAATAACTACTATAAGCATATTTTAGATCCATATGTCTTTATAACTAAGTACTGCCACTAACTCCACAGCTAAAAAATTTTGGTAAAGATTTCTCATCAGTCATATTCATACCAAGTAAAGACTAAATGATACTGGAGTTTGCAAAATGAACCAAAGTTTCAAAGTACTTAAAAAAAAGTGTTGGACAACTGGTGCTGGCAAATATGGACAGCTACACATGTAAGAGAATAAAACTGGATTATTGTCTAACCCCATACACAAAAGTAAACTTGAAATGGATCAAAGACCTGAATGTAAGTCATGAAACCATAAAATTCTTAGAAGAAAACATAGGCAAAAATTTCTTGAATATAAACATGAGCAACTTTTTCCTGAACACATCTCTTTGAGCCAGGGCAACAAAAGCAAAAATGAACAAATGGGACTACATCAAACTAAAAAGCTTCTGTACAGCAAAGGACACCATCAGCAGAACAAAAAGGTATCCTACAGTATGGGAGAATGTATTCATAAATGACATATCTGATAAGATGTTAACATCCAAAATTAAGATCTCACATGCCTCAACAACCAAAAAGCAAATAACCTGATTAAAAAATAGTCAGAGGATATGAAGAGACAAGAGACAGTTCTCCAAAGAAGAAATTCAGATGGCCAACAGACACATGAAAAGATGCTCCACATAGCTAATTATCAGGGAAATGCAAATTAAAACCACAATGAGATATCACCTCACACCAGTTAGGATGGCCAACATAGAAAAGACTAGGAACAACAAATGCTGGCAAGGATGCTGAGAAAGGGGAACTCTCTTACACTGCTGGTGGGAATGTAAATTAGTTCAACTACTGTGGAAAGCAATATGGAGGTTCCACAAAAATCTAAAAATAGAAATACTATTGGACCTAGGAATTCCACTCCTAGGAATTTACCCAAAGAAAACAAGATCCCTGATTCAAAAAGACATATGCAGCCCTATGTTTATCACAACACTATTACAATAGCCAAGATATGCAAGAAACCTAAGTGTCCATCAGTAGATGAATGGATAAAGAGTTGGTACATATACACAATGGAATCTTATTCAGCTATAAAAAGAAAACAAATCCTACTATTTGCAACAACGTGGATGGAGCTAGAGGGTATTATGTTCAGTGAAATACGCCAGGCAGAGAAAGACAAGTACCAAATGATTTCACTCATTTCTAGAGTATAACAACAAATAAAAACTGAAGGAACAAAACAGCAGCAGACTCACAGACTCCAAGAAGGGACAGGCAGTTACCAAAGGGAAGGGATAGGGGAGGCTGGGTGGGGAGGGAGGGAGAGAGGGAGAAGGGGATTAAGGGACATTATGATTACCGCACGGGGAGCAGTATAGCACAGAGAAGACAGGTAGTGACTCTGTTAGCATGTTACCATGCTGATGGACAGTGACTACAGTGTGGTGTGTGGGTGGACTTGATAATATGGATGAATGTTGTAACCACAATGTTGCTCATGTCAAACCTTCATAAGATCATATATCAATGATACCTTAATAAAAAATAAAAGCATTGGAAGCTTGCACAAAGACATTTAGGTATGCCAAACTAAAGAACATTTATATTAGAGCAGTGTCATCTTTAATGTTGTGAATACTTGCATGGATCTCCAACTTTCTATGTAGCAATTTACAATGGTCCATAAGCAGTAAGCATATTAGTAAAATTGAATGAAGATTTTTTGTTCCCAAATCCATCATAAATTTTGATTAGATGTTCACCTAATGCATATTCTAATATTAATGCAATGCTAATCTTAAAGTGTACAAAACCAGCTCGATAGAGTAACAAAGTTCATTAAAATTAGCATTTGAGTCCTTATATATGTAGTTGATTATATGACATGAGATACATATACATATGTATATGATACTGTTGATACAGTTGCATTTCTTGAAGTGATAATTATGCAAGACTACATATGTGACAAAATTGCACAGAGCTGAACACATACACACACTCACACACAAATAAGTGCATGTATCAATGCTAAAATCTGAGTAAGCCCTATGGATTGTGCCAATGTCAGTTGCTTGGTTTTACTACTGTTCTATGGTGTGAGATGTTGGCATGGGAGATGGTTGGGAAAGGGGTACTCAGGATCTCCCTACCTTTCATTATAGCCTCCTGTGAAATCTGTAATTACTTCAAAACAAAAAGTTTTAATAAAAATGTACACGTTAAAGAAAAATAAATTAAGTAGAAAGGAAACTGCTAGCCAAAAATAAAAGATTTGAAAGTTCTTATGTATACTGTCCCTTATCTATTCCCCTCCCTTCTTTTCAGGGTAATTACTATCCTGTACTATCAGTACTATCCTGAATTAAGTTATTTTTTTATTTCTGTGCACATTTATAAGCTATTTATATTGACATATAAATTTGGGCACTATATAGTATTGTTTCATATGCTTTTTATTTTTACATCTACCATCATTTTCGGCTTAGCATTTGTCCCGAATAAAAATGTCTAGGTCTGGACAATACATGATATTGTTGCTAGTGTTACCCCACATAAGTCAAACAAACTCCTAGATGCCAATGCTGCTTCTAGATCTAGAACACAGCTGGGCTGTGGTGTCAGCTCTCTCCCTGCTTTATAATTCTGTTCCACTGAGATGTTCATATTTTTGAGTCAGGCTATATCTTTTTATTTTTTATTGTTTTTTATTTCATCTATTACACTGTGTGTTTCAAACAAAAGGGGATGAATTAAATTGTATGTCTTGACCAGAAGTGTCCCCTCATTGCTCTTAAAAAAAAAAAAAAACTTTACTAGTCTCACCTCTTTCTGCTTTAAGAAAGTTTGAGTTTTCTGTCAAATTTAAAACACACACACAAAATTTACGTTTGCTTAATTTATAGGTCTTACACATTTCTAACTTGGGCATAACTGCTACTTTTATAATATTCAGTCCATCCAAGAAAACAGTATTTCTTCATTTATTCAAATTTTTATCTCATCCCAACAGGTTGTTGGTTTTCAACACTTCATCTTGTTAAAAATAGTTCTGGAATTCTATACTTTGCAGTGGAGTTTGCTACTAAAGCCTCTTTTTAACAGGTTAATTATCATGGAATTTATTTTTTGCTGCCTTATGCTGTATCCAGCTTTTATTAATTCATATCTGCCTCTTGGTTAGGCTGCTGAAAGGGTACTACACAAATCATACAAAGATGTTTAAAAGCATGAGCTTTGAAGTCAGGGAGATTTGGAACAAAATTTCTATGCCCTTTACTATCTACCTTACATGCTTATGAGGATCAAATGAGCTACTTCATGTAAAGGGCCCTGTGTTTGAATCAAAATGTTTAATATATAATTTAAAATAACCCTCGAATATAAGTAAAATCCATCAAAATTCTTTTTCCATGATGACCCCTGAAATGCTCTTATTCAGAAACATAAAAATCAATAAAAAACATGCTGACACTCTTGCTTTATTATTGGGCAGTTTAGTAGAATACTATATATATATATCGTAGTCTGTGTATTGCATAACCCAGTACTGGCAACTATTCTTACTAATATTTTTCTTAATACCCCAAACAAATTAGGGACTTTAGTATTGCCATTAAAACCTATAGTGCAGTCTTAAAATGTACAGAGTTAAAATTCTTACCTTGCATTGGGGGTAAGACTTCGTAAGACATGAGTTAGGGAACTAAGTGGTAGTGATCCAGACTGTTTAACCAGAAGAGAATTCTCATAGGAGGTTTCTTCAGTGTAAGGATTATATGTAGTTGTTTCATACCACAGCCAGTTATAAAGACTCTGTTTTGCATGATCCCACACTAGAGCACATGATTGAAGAACACAAGCATTGTTAATTATTTTCATACTGTTTTATTATCAGATTCTACTCCAGGAAAGAATGAGAGAGCATTAAATAAACAATGAATCCTGAAATTTTTCATTATTGCCATTCCCCATCCAAATCAGTACCCTTGCATTGTCAGTGAACATCTTATTTGTATAGCAAATACAAGTTGAAATGTGAAACATTTTATTGTATAGGATTATCATAAAGTTTCTGAATTAAATGCATACTATAAATGCTATAATACTTTATGAAGAGAAAGAGATCAAAATAATAGTTGGGTCTCCTCAACCTTCATGAAACTTTAGGTGTAGGACACCTTTAGAATCTGAATTTTTATTTCTAAGAATGATGTTCTAAATCAGATTAAGGACACCTATTTTTGGAAACCTGTGTCTTTAAACATGCAACAAAGAAAAAAAGTGTACTAAAAAACAATAAAAATTAGTTTTGTAAGACTGGTATCTCAAGAAAGAAAAGTAACATTTAACTTACTGAGAGGAGCATTGAGGTGATCAACAGATGCTATAAGGTATATGTTATGTAAAGATGACAACTGTCCAATAATTTGCTGGCTTTTGTCTCCTCTCAACATTTGGCTATCCAAATTGTGAATGAGAAGGAAGAGTTCTAAAGAAGAATCTAAAATGAAAGAGAGTTCAGTTATAATTTCCAGTATTTGTACAGTCCCTACCAAACACAATGCCCATATGTATTAACAAATATATCAAAGTAGTATGGGACAAACTAACAATGCTTAGGGGTATGCATTTTATTTGAGAAGACAGGCCAGTCAGTTATAAAGTACACAAGATATTATCAAGTCTTACAAAAAATTTTCATTAGAAATCAGTAGCGACTAGAGTGGTTAGATTTAATTGGAATGATTTAGCACTTGAATCACATTGTAAAGAAAATGGTTTCAATAAGGTCAGTAAGGTATAGGCAACAAGGTGAGATGCATCCTGGATTGCTGGTGAATCTGTACATGTTGAATTACAAGTTGAAATTGGTAGTGGGACACCAAAAAAACCCCAACATTTTTCTTTAAGTATTAAGAGATAACAGAAACCCCAATTATCACAAAAGCCCAAAGAGACTAAAAACGGGCAAGTGCAGGCAGTATATACAGAGAAGACAAGTAGTGATTCTACAGCATCTTACTATGCTGATGAACAGTGACTGTAATGGGGAATGTGGGGGGGACTTTATAATGGGGGGAGTCTAGTAACCATGGTGTTGTTCAAGTAATTGTACATTAATGACATCAAAATAAAAAAATTAAAAAAGAAAAAAGGGAGCAAGTGCAGTTTAGGATACTGCTCAAGGCATCAGGAACGTCAGAGAATTTTTAAAAAGTCAACTAAGGAAGAATTTAGAGGATGCAGCCATTAACACCAAACACTACAGAAATCAAGATAACAAAGGATGAGCCAAGGTTTAGAAAGAAGAAAATGAGGGGTGATCTTAAGGCAAACAGTTCAGGTAGCACAGAAACTCATCTGTGAACTTCACTCACTTAACAAGGAAGAATTACACTCCTACTACCTTGAATTTATATAGCTAAAGCCCCTTATTTCAGATAATCTTTTTATTTTCTTATATTTATTTATTTATTTATTTATTTTGAGAGGGCATCTCTCATATTTATTGACCAAATGGCTGTTAACAACAATAAAATTCTGTATAGGGGACTCAATGTATTTCAGATAATATTATCTGACATACTAATACAAATCTCCCTTGACCTACAATGGGGTTACAGCCCAATAAACCCATCATCATAGGCTGAAGTTGAAAATGCACCTGACACTCCTAACCTACTAAACATCGTAGCTTAGCCTAGCCTACCTTAAACATTCTCAGAACACTTACATTAGCCTATAGTTGGGCACAATTATCTAACACAAAAGACTATTTTGTAATAAAATGTTGAATAGCTCATGTAATTTGTTGAACACTGTACTGAAAGTGAAAAACAGAATGGCTGTATGGGGACAGAATGATTTTAAGTGTGTTGATTATTTACCCTCACAATGGTGTGGCTGACTGGGAGCTGCGGTTCATAGCAGGTGCCCAGCACAATGAGAATATCATACCATGTATTGCTAGGCCAGGAAAATATTAAAATCTGAAACTCAAAGTATGCTTTCTAGCATTTGCAAATCACTCTCACACCATTATAAAGTCAAAAAATCATTAAGTAAAACCATCATAAGTTAGGTACCATCTGTATATGGGTAAGTAGAAGTGTCTACTTAGCTTCACCCTAAAACTAGAACATCTACTTCATGTTACCTTCTTTAAACCTGTTTATTATCCAGTCCAGCTGATCCAGTACACTTCGGAAAGTACCCACATGATTGAGGACTTCTTCTGTTACAGAATTCAGGATCTATCATAAAAGTGCAAGAGGCACATCAGATATAACTTAACTCTGTCATACAGGATAAATATAACTAGCAAATCAATCCTTTTTTATAAATTAAAAGTGAGTTTGGCTTTCCCATCAAAGCTGAAAAAGCACTTGAAAAATTGTACTGGTACTTAAGTATACCTAATTCATTTTTTGCATAAGTTATGCTAAAAGGAAACAGGGAAGAATAACAAAGATGTAAAGATAAGAGGACAGCAACCCCACCCCACCCCTTAAAAAAACTCCAACAATATGAGAAACATAAAACTATATATTTATCAAAGGAAAGAGGGCCTAAACATTAAGGACATTTTAAAAAAGGAATACTACATTGTTTAATGGCCAGCCCCAAAAGGTTTAAATTAATTTTCATATGATTAAGAGACAAGCATTTTGAGTAAAAATAATCTATAATGTACACTATAAAACTACAAACTTACTGGGCTTTTAAAATTAGTTTTTGAGTATCAAAGTAACATAAAAGAATAGTAAAATCGAAGTCCTCCATAATCCTATCCTGCAGAGAAGTATGGTTGATATTTGGTGTAGTAAACAAAGCTAGTATTTCCCCAAGATTAAATACAGTATCAGCTACAAAGCAGAAAATTCAAAGATGGGGATTCAAAGCCAGAATGCTTTGAGCCCAAACACATGATCTTAAATACTATACAGTCCTACTACTGTAAAGGCTAAAAACAAAAACTGAATGCCCCAGAATGAGAAGTAGCATCCTCATTCATGTTGGGGATATGGGTTGGCAGAGTATAACATTACTCCTGTTAACATTTTTGAAACTTACTGATTTCACACTGATCCCAGGAAAGAAGCCATTGATGACAACATGAATGGTGTCTGGCAGCATGGTAGTTCGAAACCTTTCTAGTAAATCTCTCTTAGAACCCAAACCATAAAGCATGATGTTGAACCCCAGGCTGTTATGAAAGATTCATGAAATTAAAGTTCAGTACCTCTTATTGCCTATTTTATAATCAACCAGTTTTCTAATGTAAGCTTATAAAGAATATAGGAAGAACTTAACTATGTTGATTCCCAACTTATACAAGTAAAAGCACAATTTTATTATTTGTACACCAAACTTAAGTTCCAACTTTAGCAGCCTTCTTTCCAGCAAGTATTATCTTTCAAGTGACAGATGGTTGGAGGTAAGGAAGAACATGGTAGGTACAAGGCACTAGTAAGTTTTACAGACTGAAGCAGTTTTAATTAATAGATTAAATTGGCAAACAGAAGCCAAGTCACAAAGGTCATGTTAAGTCAACTAAATTAATTGATTTTATTCCAAGGACAACAAACATTTAAAAGTAACTAGGCCAGGTACGAACTGAATGGTTTTGTAGGAACGTAGCAGGATCTTTTCACAAAGATCATACTGGCTGAGGGAGGGTAGCAGACAGGAAGGAGGGACAAACCTACCCAAGATTATGGACTTGAATTAGGTGCAGTGAAGAAAAACTTAATGTGTCAAGTATTTCATAGGGCAAATCAGCAGGATCTGGAGAGTGATTAGATGTGGAAGGTTTTCTGGCAGAGGCAACTACATGAATGGGGTAATATTCACTGTGCTAGGCAACAGGGGCAGGTGGGAATGATGGGTTTAAGATGAGTTAATTTTCTGTGTATAGAATTATTCATAGGACATCCACATAGAAACTTCCAATATACATTCAGATATCCATGTCTCTTGCTGTGGTGTGAGATCTGGACTGGACTGGGCTGGGCTGGAGATACAGTTAACAAGAGTTATTCATACACAAAAAGCAGCCAAAGCCAAGAGAGTGAGTAAGATGACTCAGAACACCAAGCACTAGGGGTTAAGCTGAAGTTTAAGTCCATGATTGTTTATGGAGGTCAGTCAGATACAGTGTTTATTCATGTGATGCTCTGCAGCAATGCAGGATAGCCTAGAAGTACAAGAAAAGAGAAGACACAACCCCCAAAAGAAGAGATTAGCAATGGTAGGAGCAGCAGAAAAAAAAGAAGCATGGGAATGCAGAGAGCTAGCAATTTTGTTGAAGTAGGTGACTATGAGATCTCGGCTGGGACCTAGACGGAGCAAAGTAAGTCAAGGAATCAGAGCTAACATGCTGGAAGAATGAAGTATGTGAACTGTGGGGTGGAAAAAGAGTGAAGACCTGCTTTATAAATTTGTAAAAAACAGATCCATAAATAGTTACTTAGAGAAGCTGAGGTCCTTGTAGGAAAGATAATCATTCTCTTGCTAGCATAACCCTTCATGGGTTATTAGCAAAAGAAAACTAGGGTCAACTGGGGGTAATTGTGTCAAGTTCTATGTTCTTACTGCTTGGTGGACCTGTCTTCTTATTTACCCCAGTGACTATGTAACTGTGAGCATGTATGTATATTTACATTAGCATAATTTTAAGTACTTCCTTACACTGAGGTCCTTTTTAATAAAGGATAAAGTAATTATAGTAAAAAACACTCCTAATTTTAATCATTCTTCTAGATATTTTAATGAAAATCTAAAATTCAACCTGCAGTGTCTGAAGAATTATTAAAATTGAAAAAATATTCCAAGAAATCATTTTGAAATGGTAAAATAATGTTTATAGGACAGATCTCAAAAAATTCTGAAGGTCTTAGGACATTTATATAGAATAAGTTTAAGAGAAACGAAATAATTCTCTTGTTTTGTAAACTTTGCTTGAAAAGCTAATTAAAATCTATTGATGTATTCGTCAACCTTGAAAAATTAGGCTTTCAAATATTTTTATGAGTAAAAACGTACAATTTGAAGAAATGCTATTTATTTTACCAATGGCTTCCAGATTGATAAATTTACAAAGGTAAGTTTCTTGACAACTGTTGATTTTCTGAAAAGAGCCATAAATAATATGACGTTTCCATATTAAGCCCTAAGATTGGGGAAAAAAAACTATGTTTTTGCATTTTTATATACAAATGAAAATATAAAGTTAACTGCAAAAAAAGAAAATTAATGTGTTAAACTGCTTTTTTAGACATTTTTATCTTACAAGAGTTTGCAATGATAATAGTACTTACTGTAACTGCAACATCCATTTATGAAATAATTGTTCATATTGTTGATTTAGTTGTTTAAGTTCAGTAGAAAAGGAAGGAGAAACCTTGCTCAGTAACTTATGCAAAGTTTGCTTTAAAAAGAGAGGGAGGGAAGAAAATCACTATATACATCAAATCAATCCAAACTAAAAATATTTCTTTAGAGGTAGAGGTCAGAAGAGACCACTGGTGGAAACAGAACTTTAATCAGGTTTGGTAATGAGGGCATCAATTTGAAATACTGTAATATTTCAAATATGATTTAAATATATTTTCTTAAAACTTCTTAAACATTCTTTTTAGTACAAATATAATAGGGAATTTGCCAAATATAATAGGGAAAATCCCAATAGAAGGCTTTAATTTCTGAAAAGATTGTTACCATAAGATGATTAAACCTGACTCCCAGCTTTGACAACAAATCCAGATAGACTTAAAAATCTATGAATCTGAAAAGGTGGATGTGAAAGCTTAAGGTAATAGTTCAATATTAATTCTCAGAAAACATTAAAGGTTCTTTATAATTTATCATTATCATTATTATTACAATAAACTTGCATTGCTGCTCCTCTTCCAAAAAAGCTACTTCTAACAAATCCTTTATCTTTGATGAGCATGGCAAAGTTTTTGAAACAACGATGTAAATAAACTGACGAAAGTACATATTACCCTGCACCCAAAACTTGAAAATTCACGCTGGTGAATCAAACATAGCTAATTTTTTTAAATGAAAACTCTAGCAAAAGTTGCGCATGCATTTTTACCCTGGCATTGCATTCTCATGATTCCACTCTTTATTCTCTTAATACTGAAGACTAGAGTTGCCAAGTCAACATTCCAGGCACTCTGGCCTGTATAGTTTTTATTTACATACTTAAAGAGAAATAGGACAAGTTCTATGTCAGACTGTTAAGTAGGTTAGTTTTAAAAAATGTTTTTCACTCCTTCTGAAGTTTAGAGCCTTGAAGAAGCAGATAAAGCTCTAGTATCATTTCCAGTAGTCATTCCCACTGGATTATCAGAGCATGCCCACACTTGGGTGTGAACTCTGCACTGTTATCTCATCTATGAACTTTCCCTTCAAACCAGCATCTGTGGGGAACCACACTACAGCATCCACAGTGGGAACAGTACAACAGTGTTGCACTACAGTGCCTGTAGGATCCAGTGTTGGTCTGAATAATTGCTTCCTCCTTATTTTCATGCCTGTCGCCATGTGACCTTGCAGTCCTTCCCCATTCAGAGATGGAGTCTAGTTCCCTGATTGGTCACTTTGTTTTCAGCCGCATGATTTGCTGTGGCCACTATGATGAGGCAAAAGTGACACTGAGCTAGTTCTGAATCAAGCTTTTGTGGGTTCTTGCGTTTTTCCATTTCTCTTACATTTCTGACACTGTCAGGACAACATACCTCAGCTAGCTTGCTGGTTCCAAGAGGAGGAGAGACATATGGATCAAATCCTAGATCAGCAGACCCGCAGATATGAGAAATAAGTGCTTACTGACACATGCTCCTGACACTGTACTGTTAGCTATGTCCACAATCAACAAAAGACTTTCCCTTCCCTCATTACTGGCAACAGGTGTTTCATCCGCCCAGAGGTCATTTTTGCCTCTAGGTCCTATGAAGTCTTGCTTCGATCCTGGATCCTTTTATTATCCCATGTTGCTTATATAAAAATATAACCACGAAGCATGTGTTAGTGCCCTCTCCTCCCTGGAACAAACGGCTTCTTGATACACGTGCTCACCTAGTCTCTGATCTGTGTCTCAGTACCAATAAGCCAGGAGACAAAAAAACAGAAACCACTCAACCCACACAGCACCGTGTCACCCAGGTTATAGAGGCTTATCCTACGTTCTCCTTTTTACAGTTTGAAAACTCTGTCTAAAGCCCTGTACACCTTAGAAAACTGCACTCAATTTCAGTTTGCAGAGAAAATAAAACTGATCATCTTTGAGCCAGTAACAAACTCTTCTTGACTTAGATTATTATCAACCCCTATTTGTACTGAAAGATTTTCTCATTCTGATAGTTCTATCTCCTCTCTCAGGGAAGTAGCAATCAAAGCCCTAGAGAGTACAACTGTAGGTATTTTTTGTAAAAAGAGATATTGGAACCATTGGTATATATAGTAATCTTGTTATCTTACTGCACTGGGCAGGTTTTCCATATCAAGAAGCAGAATACCCTCTGCTTTTTGCAAGGTTCGTAACTGACAGTCAGATCAGTGTTTGTTTTATAACCACTGTGAGGGTCAATGACTATATGGGTTAAATGAATGAGTGATTAATGGTACACAGATACCAAAAAAACTATGACCCTAATGATTCTTATAGATCCTGAAGAAATGAGAAATAAGAGAAAAAAGTGATAGTTATAGTATATCAAACAGAATTCTAACCCAGTGAACCATTTATATAATAAAGTATATAATAGCAATGCTACATTAATTTGTGTCTCATTTTATCAGGACAGTAATTCTGCTTGAGTGTGCTTAACTCTCCAACTTTGCTGATTATGTAGTATATTTTTCAGCTCACAATAGGAAAAATTTAGAAGTAGCATTCCTTGTAACATACCTGATCCAATTTAGCTCTCTTTATTTTCTGCAGTGTTCTATCAGAGGTTAAAACTTTTGAACTGCTGTGAGCTTCAAAATATTCTTCTACTAAGTCACTCTGAAAATGGATACAGCAAAGTTAGTTCTTAGGTTTATGTCAAACAAGACAGTAACACTAATGTAAAATATGTGGAATTCTTTATTTGGCAATTAGTATTTTCTTCCTCAAGCAATAACACAGATTAAGGACCAAGCAAATTAAGTATAATAATAAAACTAAGTAACTCTTAAAAGTTAAAAGTTAAAAAAATGACTAGTTTGAAGTAGTCTGGTCCCAAAAACAATTCCTAAGTTCCAACATATAATTTCCATTTAGACTTACAAAACGGGGGTTGGGAGGCTGTTTTGCCTCACACAGTCCTAGGAAATCCTTTATTATTAGGACAATTGAAGAACTGTGAAAATGAGAAAGATGTCAACACTACAGTAAAAAAGGGCTTGATTACGATTCCAATAAAATGGCTCATTGTTTGTTCTACTGATCTGGGGCAGGACTGACCTCCGTGGTAGTAAGGAAAAGATGGGAAGCCATTCCAAGTAGTAGGCTTCCAAGATTGCTTTGAATCTTTACACAGAACACCAGGTCTTCTCTCAAGCCAGTGTTCTCCCAAACAACTCAACATGGATCCAAAGTCATACCATTTATTACTTACATTGACTTGAATACATCAACAATGTTAGAAAAATAAAATAACACAGAAAGGTATAAACTATTAAGTTTTGCCTCCAATTATCCAATCAGTATTTACTTATTAAAAAGCTCATTTTTATACAACTGAATTGAGATGTCACCTTTAGTATATATACATGGATATGAATGCAGTTAAGTCAGAATAGAAAGTGCAGAAATAGATACAAGTATGTATGAGAATTTATGTGAAAGACTGAGAAAACAGAAAAGTGAAGAAAATAATTATGTTGACCCCCCAATATGGGTTTCTTCTCTTTGGGTAGCTTATCTTTGAGATATTACACAATTTTTCTTTAAAGTTAAGGTCGCTCTCTTCACTTACTGTTTTATCTCTTTTCATTTTCTTAGGAGGTGTTTCTTTGCAAACAGGAGCTGAAACTACTCTATTCTGAGGTTGAATCTTTTGGCTGAATTCGTTAGTGCCTTCTTCATATTCTTGTGCAACCTCTTCATCATCCTCTGAGTGGGAAGTAGAATATTCACTTTCACTGTCAGAAGGAGACCTTGAAACTGTTGGAGGGAAAAGCAATAGGGAAAATTTGACAGTCTAACATAAGAGCCATTGTGGGATAAGGGAAAGAGCATAGTCTTTGAGGTAAGAGAAATGACTTCTGGTTTTGTCATTATTTGCAGATAATCTCATCGGAGCTAGTTAGTTACATGTTTTCTGAGCACCAGTTTCCTAGTGCCTAGTTTAATGAACTATTGTGGCAATTACACCGAAATGTATGTGAAGCAACTAACAATGCGTGACCATAGGAACTGTCGCAGAAACTGTCAGTCATCCTGATTAACATTTTCTTTCCTTTTTCCTTACTAAGAGAACTCCAATGTGCCCCACTCTAAAGGATAATCACCATATCATCTTTTCCTTTTCCCATACTTGCTTTCCCAGTCTCCTCTGCAATTAGAGCTGGTTATGGAAGCTTTTGACCAATGAAACTTGAAGGAAAATTTCCTGAAGATTCTGGGAAATTTTTATTGCTTATGGAAGGAAAACCCCTTATTTATACCCATAGCTTAAAGCCATGGAAGCCATTTCACATGAAGTATTAAACTTAAAGGTGAAAAATGCTGGTGGCAAAGAAACGGGAAGGATGTGTGTCTTTCATGACACTATTAAGTCACTACATCAAACGTGGGATTTTTATGAGAGATACTTAAGTGCCTATGGTTTAAGCCACCATTATAGAATTTTCTGTCGCTGCCTACTGAAAATGCCATTGTTAGGATGATAGAAAACTCAATAAATGATAGCTGTTATAAGTTCTAATAATACACGGGCAAGCCCACCCTGGAGTTTATACAAGAACTGTATTTTTAAATAAACCATAGCCACCTCTGCCACTCCCCAGAAATAATAAAGCTACTTTTACACTCAACAAAATTAGTATAAAACTATTATAGAAAGTTACCTTCCAAAATATCAGTTAAATAACTTTAACCAAATCAGTGTATTTATTTTGAACAATAGATATATTTCAGAATATCCAGTTAATGTATAGCAAATATAGACACTAAAAGAGGGAGAGAGAGAAAAAGAAAAAAGGCTTTTGATTTTGTGGGCACAGTTTTGCAGCTTCATATTTGCACTGACTGCTGCCCATGGTAGATACATGGGTTAGCAATAATAGGAGGTACCAGAAATGTCTATCTTATTTACATGTAACATCATGCATGTACATATGTATGTTTGGTGGTGATTGATAGGAAAGAGAAAGTTCATCTTCTCTCTAAAAATGATTCTTTTTTGGAGTAAGGAGGAAACACAGGACATGGGGCATACCTGATATATACAATAACCATAATAGCAGTATCATCTTTTATTGCTTCAGATATTCAATCATTTAATTTTACCATTTTTTATGCTAATTAAAAATGTAGTATAAACAGTTCTATGAAACCTATACCTTGAAAAGAAATGGCTATAGATAGCATGGATTTGACCATGTTAGCTGGTATTATTGTTAAGGGGTCAACCTGAAGAAAGGAACTGACACCTTTCTCAAATGTAAATGTCAAGAAGTCATTTGCTCCAAAGTTAAATATTTAAAAATCTAAAGCCGTTTTTAGTTTTCCAGAAGGTAGGACCCATGTCTGTTTACTTGGCTTTGTGTAATATTCAGTACAACTATGAATATTTAAAATTATTTTATCATAAAACTTTCTAAAAAAAAATCAATAGAACCGTTTCCAAAAATGTCTCAAAACAAACAGGCATGTTATTTCATTGGAGACATTTTAACTCACCTCAATAGCCATTTACTATAATGTAAAAAGCATAGTGCTTAGTACTGAAGTTAAAAATATTAAGATATAGTCCTTGCTTCTAAGGAATCTACCAGTTTAGTTTAGGACATGAACATATGCTTTCTTTCAGTTAATCTCAAAACAACTCTGGGGCTGGCATGATTATCCCCATTTTGCAAATGAAAAAACTGATGCATTAAGAGATGCCTGTTAGTGGCACACCAAAGGTAAAAAGCAAGCAGTCCAAGTCTAGGACCTGTGTACTTAGCCATTACTGCCTCTTGTTTGGATGCTTTTTAAAATGAAAGCTCAGTGTAAAAAGAAATACATACCTATTAATCTTTTCCTTAGGCCACGAGTTGCTGTTGACAGAAATTCACTTTGATCATTGTTCTGTTTAAAAATAAAAGAGCAGTACAGTTTAAATGTCAAATAATAACAATGACATGAAAATTAATAACAGATCTGAGTGAAAGAGGCTAGAAAAGAAAAAAAAGATTTTGTTATCGGTAGACCACATTACAAATAGATGCGCCTAGTTCCTAGAACTAGAGGACAATCACAAATTGGTTGGAGAAAAAAAATAAGGTATAAAAACAAAAATGATACAATTTCCAAAGAATTCCTAGAGTGATTCTATAAGTTGTATTCCAGACATCTGTATAGTATGTATGTACTTTAATTATTATGTAAAGAAAAAATGTAAGTACATCATTCTTTTGAACCACTTTTCACCCATAAGATTAGCAGAGTATTTTTTTTTTAAAAAGGTAATATTCTTTGACCTGATTGTTTATAGGTCATAAAGTGTGATCAAAACCGAAAGTTTCTGTGATGAATGCCCTTGTACTGTTCACCATGTAAGAATTTATTCACTATGTAAGAATTCGTTCATCATGTAAGAACTTGTTTGTTATGCTTCAGAAGATTGGAGACTGATGAGAATTAGACTTGAGATGGATTAATGATTGTACATTGAGCATTGACCCCCCTATACTGAATTTTATTGTTGTTAACAACCATTTGATCAATAAATATGAGATGCCCTCTCAAAAAAAAAAAAAAATAGTACAAAAGATCTTTATCTTGAACAACAACAGAAAAAAAAAAAAAAAAAAAAAGGTAATATCCAAGGGTGAACAAGCAAGGAAATGGGTACTCCTGTGTGTATACAGCAATAGGCCACTTAATGTGCTAGAAACTAACTGGTATAAAGTATTACATTCTGTAAGAGGAGAAACAGAGATTTATACTTTTTACTTCTGTATTTTTCAATTTCTTAAACATTTTACAGAAGCATAAATTTTCTTTACCTCACAGACTATACTACTTTAAGACCAGTAAATTTCTAGCATGTTAAAATGGCCACTGTTGTATACATGTTTTTAATGGTACTAATAAAAAGATAAACTACCCTGTATGAAAATAATAACAAAAAATTTAAGGTTGTTGTCTTGTGATAGGTCACTGGTGCTAGTTCCAAATACTAATAAATTCTGATTTGGGATATTAAGAATATGTAATATAATAATTGAGCTGGTCCCAATGGGTTTATAAAGCACATCACATTGTATGAAACTTTTTTGATCCAGATCCTTAACAGAGTTTTTTTTACATTTTTTTAATACACACTATGATCTATGTGTGTATATAGACAGACCTCAGTGATACTGCAGTTCAGACCACTGCAATAAAGCAAATACTGCAATATAGAGAGTCAAATGAATTTTCTGGTTTCCAAGTGCTTATATAAGTTATACTCACACTATATTGTAGTCTACAAAGTGTGCAATTGCACTATGTCTAAAAAAATACACATTAAAAATACTTTATTGCTAAAATACGCTAACCAGCATTGGAGCTTTTGGTAAGTCTTCATTTTTTGGCTGGTTCCCATGCTGACTGATCAGGGTGGTGGTTGCTAAAGGCTGGGGTGGCTGTGACAATTCCTTAAAATATGACAATGATAAAGTCTGATTGACTGACTCTTCCTTTCATGAACAATTTCTCAGTAGCATGTGATGCTGTTTGATTCCATTTTACTCACAGAACTTCTTTCAAAATTGGAGTCAATCCTGTCACATCCTGCCTTTACTTATCAACTCAGCTGATGTATTTTTTTGTTGTCATTTCAACAGTCTTGATAGTATCTTCACCAGAAGTAGATTCTGTGTCAAGAAACCACATTTTTGCTCATCCATATAAGCAACAACTCATCTGTTAGTCTGACCACGAGATGTAGCAGTTCAGTCACATATTCAGGCTCCACTTCTAATTTTAGTGCTCCTGCTGTTTCCACCATATCTGCAGTGACTTCCTCCACAGAAGTCTTGAATTCCTCAAAGTCACCCATGAGGGCTAGAAACAAGTTCCAAACTCCTGTTAATATTGGTATTTTGATTCTTTCCCAGGAATCCTGAATTTCTTAAGGCATCTGAAATGGTGACTCCTTCAAGAAGGTTTTCAATCGGCTTTGTCCAGATCCATCTGAAGGATCACTATTGATCGTAGCTATAGCTTCATGAAATGTAATTCTTAAATAATAGGACTTGAAAGTCAAAAAGATCCATGGGCTGCAGAAGAGATCTTGTGTTAGCAGGCATGAAAACATTAATCTCATTGTGCGTCTCCCTCAGTGCTCATAGGTGACCAGGTGAATTGTCAATGAGCAATAATATTCTGAAAGGCATCTTTATTCTGAGCAATGTCTCAACAGTGGGCTTAACATATTCAGTAAACCATGTTATAAACAGATGGCTGTCCTCCAAACTTTGTTTTACCATGTATAGAGAGAGCACAAAGTTGATTTAGCATAATTCTTAAGGGCCCCAGGATTTTTGGAATGGCCAATGAGCATGAGCTGCATTAGCCCCTAACAAGAGTCAGCTTGTCCTTTCAAGTTTTGAATCCAGGCACTGACTTGTCCTAACTAAGAAAGTCCTAGATGGTATCTTTCAAAGAAGACTGTTTCATCTGTATTGAAAATCTGTTGTTTAGTATAACCATCCTCATTAATGATCTTAGCTAGATCCTCCGGGTAACTTGCTGCAGCTTTAACATGCATCAGCACTTGCTACTTCACCTTGCAACTTCTATGTTATGTAGGTGGCTTTTTCCCTTAAACCGCATGAACCAATCTCCACTAGCTTCAGACCTTTTTCAGCAGCTTCCTCACCTCTCTCAGCCTTCATAGAATCGAGGAGTTAGAACCTTGCTCTGGATTGGGCTTTGGCTTAGGGGAATGTTGTCACTGGTTTTATCATCTATCCAGGCCACTAAAACTTTCCCATATGAGGAGTAAAGCTGTTTTGCTTATCATTCATGTGTTCACGGGATTAGAACTTTTAATTTCCTTCAAAAACTTTTCCTTTACATTCACAAATGGCTAAGTGTTTGGCACAGTTACCAACACACCTTCTTCACTAAGCTTAATCATTTCTAGCTCTTGATTTCAGGTAAGAGATGTGTGACTCTTCTTTCACTTGAGCACCTAGAGGCCACTGTAGTATTATTAACTGGCCTAAATACAGTGCCTTTTTAGGAGTAGGGAGGCCCAAGGAGAGGGAGATCGGGGAATGGCCGGTGGGTGGAGCAGTCACAACACACACATTTATCAATTAAGCTGTCCATCTGATGGGTACGGTTCGTGGTGCCCCAAAGCAATTATAATAGTAATGTCAAAGATCAGTGATCACAGTCAGACAACCTGTATCCCCATAGCTTAATTATCAGAGAACACCCATGTCAAGATAACTGTTTCAGAAAATTCTTGCTCAAAAAGATAAGGCTGTAAACTAATAAGTAACTTCACTGTTTGCTACAGAAATTTTTGAAAACTAGTTTATCTTGACAGTTTGTTAATTCAGACAACCTGTTTTCCCATGAGGACAAAAAGATTACTCACCAAGGCAAATAGCTGGCCTATCAAACAATAGTTTATTGTGTCCACTAGTCCCAAAATATCATCTAATGAGTTTTGTTTACTACAGATCAGGTCCCAACTTGACAGATTTGCCTTAAGCCCTTTGAGTCCAGATCCCCAAGCCCTATACACATTTTCTTCTGAACTCCCCACTCTAAGAGCACTAAAACTGTCATAATGAGGTTATCTCTTATTGTGGTAAGTAAAATACCTTTGATAAACAGGTTTTCTGATGGTCTCTTGAGGAACTGACAAGATCCACTAATGTGTTGTGATCCACAACTTGAGAAAAGAACATACTAATGTATCTAAATTCTTGACTGGATTATGGAAATAAGTTTTATTCTTTTAGAGTGATACAATATACAAGATAAAACACAGGAAAAAAGCATTATTAAAAACAAAGTTTGAGGCTCTGGTATGTCTAATCCCACATTAGACTTGCCTAACTAAATAGGACATTACTGCACAGGCCATAACCATGGCTCTGAATGTCTACATTCACATTCCTATAAGGGTTCCTTGAACTTAGCTGTACACAAGTCCAGGTATGTCTAAATCTATAGCCATCCAGGCCTGAACACATGCACACATACTCATTTTCCTGGATTAATGCATGCCCACCTAGGCTTGCCCACATCCAGGCAGGGCCACTTGACAAGAGAAAATGGAAAAAAAAAAAAAATCACAAAAACACAAAGTAGAGTATAAATACTGTTAATTCCTCTCAGCTACCCTGGAATGAATTTACCAAAAACAACTTAGTTTTTTAATGTAAGTTATAAAATGATAGATTAATGGAGTTAATTTACCTTGGAAACAGTCCGCCAAGAAACAACAGAACATTTTACATAAAAGCAAAGCAAAACAAAATAAAACCCAGAAAATTTCCAGGCCTGCTGTCTTAAGTTGAAAATACCCAGGAATAGTTCTGACACAGTCGGGTCCAGCAGACCTGGCTTCATTTTCCAGATTTTCTTCTTCCTAGTTAGGTGAACTTAGATGAGTCAATTTACCTCTCTGAATTTCAGATTCTTCATTTGTAAGTTAGGTATTTAAATGGAAAATATCTGTAAATTATAAAGCACTGTAATACTAAGGGTTTCCTTATTTTAGTCAAATGCTTACCTTCAACTCAACTTTTTCTGAAGCAGAATGCCCTAATAAAACAAAAAGCCATTATTCAGTACAAATGTTTCGATTTTCATCATAGTCCAGTTTCATAAAAAGCAAAGTTGCAGTTTCTACCCAGAAGCCACCACATTATTATTGATTTCTCAATTAACTGCATGTCCTCTATAGGTTGAACTATCACTATTAATTTCATGCTTATACCTATTAGTGACAGCTATGTCCTACATTTCTGTAGTATTTTTATAAAAGAAAAAATGGAGCCCTTTTCATTGTTCATTATTTAAAAGCACACTGTTTAACCTGGTTGGAATGGATCACTCAAAGAAAACCGCTCCAGAATTCTCCATAAACTGTGAAACTTTCAAACCTCAAGGCCTCACTTCAAATAGTTTCTGCCAAGGTAAATCCTCCATGAACATTTTAACCCAAGCAAATAACAAAAGGATTTTAAGACTGTTTCTAATAGGCCCTATCAATTTGTACAACTTCAACCAGCACAGATATTTTCTCCTTTTATTGATAGCTAAATATGAGTAATACTAAAGCACAGGTTGGGATACTAACTGCATTTTGTTGAATGCATTTTCGCAATAGCAAAGAAGAAAATATATACAAACGCATGTAGACAAGGAAAAAAAATAACACACTACATCTTGAAGCAACTATGAAAACTCTCTTCAAAGAATGGAGGTAAAATCTTACCCTTGCTACACTGGGGAGTGTTTATCATAATTTCAGGATCATTCTTCAAAGTGAATGAAACATTTTTTCTTGGCGTTTTTGCTAGTTCTGAATCTGTAAACAGACAAAAGAAATATATAAAAAGCCTTTTAAGGTATTACCACCAGATGAAGAGGGGTAGCCTCATTTCACTTATATAAATTTAAAAAAAAGAAAGAAAGAAAAAAACCTGCCTACTAATAGTATCACAAAGATAAACTAACCCGACCCATACTAAGATTACTACTGCTTTCATATTTATTCACCATGTTCCCAGCATCTTCAAGTTTTCTTTCAATTATCCACAGGTCTCTCAAAACCTATAAATAAAGAGCTAACTTGGCCTTACTGCTTTCTCTATCATACTCTCTCTCTCTTAATTCACAAACTTATACATCTTCCATTTCTTTACAATATAAACTTGAGGCACATCTTTGCTAGGAGTTAAGAAAGGCAGGACAGAAAGTGGGATCTAAAATCAAGTAAAAGCCATGTATATTTAAAATTATACTTTAAGAGCTCTTAAATCTCCCATAAAATGTGATATATTTTCTTTTTTGTCTACAACTATATAATACATATAAATAATGTAAAAAATGTAATAATGCATTGACCAGATGGCCATTTCTTCAATTGTGCAACAGGTGAAATAGGTGGCTTCTGAATAGAAGGGGCCATTTTATCTTTACCTTTAAAAACATTCTCACACTGTGAAAGGCATATGGAAACTGAGCCTAACTGAAAGAATAGACTTACATTTCCCAAATTAACACATACTGGGACACGGTTCACTGAGAAAAAAGGTATATATTATTTAAATTATCTCCCTCCCTTTTTTTTTCCAGAGGAGAAAATAAGAGTTGAATTTAAGTTAAAGTTATATTTTCCTGATTCAAACTTCTCTTAACCTATTCCACACAGTTTAATCCTATAGTCTTGAAACTGACCCAAGATACTCATGACAGTCCTCACAAATGCACTCGTTACTTTTTTAACCTCACTGGTTAAGTTTTTATCATTCACCAGTTTTTAAAATTTTTGAAATCATTCCTTTATCTGGGTCCTATGACATTGTCCTGGTCCCCTGGCTACTGTTGGTAGTTATTCCACCTCTTCTTCACTGTCCACATGCTCCCCAGCATTCTACCTGCAGGCTGTGCTATGAGTTTTGTTTACTACAGATCAGGTCCCAACTTGACAGATTTGCCTTAAGCCCTTTGAGTCCAGATCCCCAAGCCCTATACACATTTTCTTCTGAACTCCCCACTCTAAGAGCACTAAAACTGTCATAATGAGGTTGTCTCTTATTGTGGTAAGTAAAATACCTTTGATAAACAGGTTTTCTGATGGTCTCTTGAGGAACTGACAAGATCCACTAATGTGTTGTGATCCACAACTTGAGAAAAGAACATACTAATGTATCTAAATTCTTGACTGGATTATGGAAATAAGTTTTATTCTTTTAGAGTGATACAATATACAAGATAAAACACAGGAAAAAAGCATTATTAAAAACAAAGTTTGAGGCTCTGGTATGTCTAATCCCACATTAGACTTGCCTAACTAAATAGGACATTACTGCACAGGCCATAACCATGGCTCTGAATGTCTACATTCACATTCCTATAAGGGTTCCTTGAACTTAGCTGTACACAAGTCCAGGTATGTCTAAATCTATAGCCATCCAGGCCTGAACACATGCACACATACTCATTTTCCTGGATTAATGCATGCCCACCTAGGCTTGCCCACATCCAGGCAGGGCCACTTGACAAGAGAAAATGGAAAAAAAAAAAAAATCACAAAAACACAAAGTAGAGTATAAATACTGTTAATTCCTCTCAGCTACCCTGGAATGAATTTACCAAAAACAACTTAGTTTTTTAATGTAAGTTATAAAATGATAGATTAATGGAGTTAATTTACCTTGGAAACAGTCCGCCAAGAAACAACAGAACATTTTACATAAAAGCAAAGCAAAACAAAATAAAACCCAGAAAATTTCCAGGCCTGCTGTCTTAAGTTGAAAATACCCAGGAATAGTTCTGACACAGTCGGGTCCAGCAGACCTGGCTTCATTTTCCAGATTTTCTTCTTCCTAGTTAGGTGAACTTAGATGAGTCAATTTACCTCTCTGAATTTCAGATTCTTCATTTGTAAGTTAGGTATTTAAATGGAAAATATCTGTAAATTATAAAGCACTGTAATACTAAGGGTTTCCTTATTTTAGTCAAATGCTTACCTTCAACTCAACTTTTTCTGAAGCAGAATGCCCTAACAAATAAAACAAAAAGCCATTATTCAGTACAAATGTTTCGATTTTCATCATAGTCCACTTTCATAAAAAGCAAAGTTGCAGTTTCTACCCAGAAGCCACCACATTATTATTGATTTCTCAATTAACTGCATGTCCTCTATAGGTTGAACTATCACTATTAATTTCATGCTTATACCTATTAGTGACAGCTATGTCCTACATTTCTGTAGTATTTTTATAAAAGAAAAAATGGAGCCCTTTTCATTGTTCATTATTTAAAAGCACACTGTTTAACCTGGTTGGAATGGATCACTCAAAGAAAACCGCTCCAGAATTCTCCATAAACTGTGAAACTTTCAAACCTCAAGGCCTCACTTCAAATAGTTTCTGCCAAGGTAAATCCTCCATGAACATTTTAACCCAAGCAAATAACAAAAGGATTTTAAGACTGTTTCTAATAGGCCCTATCAATTTGTACAACTTCAACCAGCACAGATATTTTCTCCTTTTATTGATAGCTAAATATGAGTAATACTAAAGCACAGGTTGGGATACTAACTGCATTTTGTTGAATGCATTTTCGCAATAGCAAAGAAGAAAATATATACAAACGCATGTAGACAAGGAAAAAAAATAACACACTACATCTTGAAGCAACTATGAAAACTCTCTTCAAAGAATGGAGGTAAAATCTTACCCTTGCTACACTGGGGAGTGTTTATCATAATTTCAGGATCATTCTTCAAAGTGAATGAAACATTTTTTCTTGGCGTTTTTGCTAGTTCTGAATCTGTAAACAGACAAAAGAAATATATAAAAAGCCTTTTGAGGTATTACCACCAGATGAAGAGGGGTAGCCTCATTTCACTTATATAAATTTAAAAAAAAGAAA